CACTCCTATGTAAGTCTGCCTCATCCAATCTCAAACACTCAGGCTGCTGAAGAACTCCCCTGTTGTTGAATAAAATTCTGGACCTTTTGTCCAAAGGTCCTTGTTCTGATCTCAGTCTGCTAGAGACCAACCATGTCAAGATTGGAGGGCTGGAATCCCCTCACTCACAGTACCGCCTAGGTTCCTTCAGCTACCCCTCTTAACTGTGGCTGCTCTGAAGGGCCCTCACTGGCTGGGTATCCAAGCTGAGGCTAGCAGGTTAGGTTACAGCTAAGTTCTCTCACAGGCAGGGCACTGGCCTGAATCAAATCTTTAGCCAAATGCCCAGCTCCCAGCTAACCTAGCCCCCTACCCCCAGTCTCTCTCTGGGAGCTGCTGCTAAACTGTTTGTCCTACCCTATGCTTGCAAAGGACTGTGTTTCAAACACAAAATTCCCTTTCAGTTTTATCCTGTCCAATTGTTCCAGCAATCCAGCTGTCATGGTGAGCTTGAATTCTGAGCCCTGAAAGGGTCATTTTGATGGCAGCTCCAAGCCCCATATCTTTCTCCAACTCCAAGACCGGGGACATAAATGACCAATTAAAGGCAAAGGAGAAAGCATCATTGAGAGACAGAGAGAGTTCTAGTTCCCTGCCAGAAATGCTGACTTTGTCTGGTTACACCGGGGACTACAAAAATCATGAAAACATGTATGCATCTCACTAACAATTTCTTCAGATCATGCATAAGTCTTTACACATACTATTAATCCTATGGGGCAGGCTGACTATTATGCAGATGTTTCTAATCTGTGTACCTAGCCTCCCCTCCCCTGTCCTAATTGCTCAGTGTCCTTGCTTGCCCCTTGCCCATCTCAATACTTCCTATCCATCAAGTTCTGCCAATATACAGGCTATTCTCTCTATATATTTCTCTTTCATCTGCTGCCTGCTGTTCAGATCAGCTCCACTTCTCTCTTGGCCCAGTGGGTCCGGAAAGTATAGTTTCCAGGTTGCTTACGGAATAAAATCATATGCAGCCTGTGGGTTCTCACAATGTTGACTAATCTGGAAGACTAGGGAGATCAAGGCCACATGAGTTCACAGGGAGGATATCAAAGAGGAGAGGGAAGTCTGAAGACTTGTAGAGAATTCCCTTCAAGTCTTCAGTTAAGTACTAATTAGGACAGATTAGAAAACAAATCACCCAACAAATCAGAGGAACAATCCTCCAAAGCTCATACAATGCTGAATACAGTTCCTACCCCCACTGACAAAATGGGAAACCTCATAATTCACTATCCATCAGGTAGAATACTGAAAATAGTTTTGCCTCCATCGTGGGAAAAATTTGTCCTAGAATAAGTGTTGTTCAATTTCTTCCTAATGAATGTTAAAAGCAAGACCCAAAAGGATCAAAATATTGCCAAGTAACTTATCAGGGTCCCAGAGAAAGGATCAAGAATAATTTTAGGAGCACAAGACTATCCAGCACTCAAAAAAAAATAAGATAACCCATTAAAAATTAACATATGCAAAGAAGCAAAAAAGTACAACTCATAATAAGGAAATAAACCAATATTAACTTGTTTACAGTTAATAGGATTAGTTAGACAAAGATACTATAACAGTTATTATGCATGTATTCCATATAAGGCAGAGGAACCACTGTAAGTATAAACATTGAAGATATTAAAAAGACCTAACTATAACTTCAAGAAACCTGTAATATCTGAGGTGAAAAAATGCACTGGGTAGAACTAACATTAGGTTAGACATTTCAGTAGAAAAGATTAGTGAACTAGAAGACATAGTTGTAAAAACTACCAAAAATAAACACAGAAAAAGGAAAAAACAACAACAAAAAAATGAACAGAGTATTAGTGAAGTGTGGTACATGTGTAACGGGTGTTCCTGAAGAAGGAGAGAGACAGAAAGTGGGGAGAGATAGAAATAAAAATACTGGAAGAAAAAATGGCTAAGATTTTCCCAAATTTTATGGAACTGTAAAGCCAGAGATCCAAGAAAATCAACAAACCCTAAATACAAGAAGTATGAAAAAACTACACCAAGAACATCACAACCACTTAAAACCAGCGATAAATTCTTTAAAAAAACAGGTTTTTAAAAAGACACATTACATCTAGAGAAACCAGTGCAGATGGCAGCAGACTTCTTTATTGGAAACAACGCCAGACAGAAGATGGTGGGAACGTCTTTAAAGCACTGAAATGAAAGATCATCTACCTAGAATTCTATTCCCCCCCCCCAAAAAAAAAAAACCCTTTCAACTATGATGATAAGATAAAGATTTTTTTAGACATCTAAAAGCTGAAAAAATAATAATTACCAACAGACCTGAAAGATATGTTAAAGCAAGTTCTTTAGATAGGTAGAAATATAGATGCACACAGAAAAGGGAAAAGTATCAGAAATCGTAACCATGTGGGTAAGTTAAAAACTTACTAAATATCTCTAAAAATATAATTGTTCATCAGAAAGGGTCCCATATACTTCTTCTCCGGTTGCTGCTTTTAATATTAGTTTTATTTTTATTTATTTTTGAACTGGGGATTGAACTCAGGGATGTTATACCACTAAGCTATATCCCTAACCCTTTTTATTTTTTTTAATTTTAAGACTGGGTCTTGCTAAATTGCGGAGACTGGCCTTGATCTTGCAATCTTGCCTCACCCTCCTAAGTAGCTGGGATCATAGATGTGTGGCTTTAATATTAACAGCGTCTGTTAGTATGGTACATTTGTTACAACTGATGAATCAATATTGGTATATTATTAACTAAGTCGTTTTTTTTTTTTTTCTTTCAGTGCTGGAGATTGGGCACAAGGGTGCTCTACCATTGAACTACATCCACAGCCCTTTTTATTTTTTTTTTTTAATTTTAAGATAAGGTCTTGCTAAATTGCTGAGGCTGGCCAGGTAAAGTGGTGCACACCTCCAATCCCAGCGACTAGGGGAGGCTGAGGCAAGAGGATTGCAAGTTTGAGGTCAGTCTCAGCAACTGAGTGAGATGCTATCTAAAAATACAAAAGACTGGGGATATAGCTCAGTGGTAGAGCACCTCTGGGTTCAATCCTCAGTGCCAAAAAAACAAAACAAAACAAGTTGTTGAGGCCAGTCTTGAATTTGCAATCCTTCTGCCTCAGCCTTCCAAGTAGCTGGGATTATGGCTGTATGCCACCATGCCTGTCACTGACCAATGTTTGAGTAGATGCATCCAACATTCTGCATGAAACTTCACACAGAATAGTTTCAATGCCCTAAAATGCCCTCGGGCTACACGTGTTTTACCCTCTCCCTATTCTATGTAAGTCAGATATTTTTACTGTCCTCATAAGCTTTGCCTTTACTAGAATGTCAAATATTTGGAATCATATCACACGTAGCCTTTCAGATTGTCTGAAATATGTATTTAAGGTCTTTCCATGTGTTCATTGATTGATTTCTTTTTAGTTCTGGACTATTTAGTAATATTCCATTCTCAAGATGTACCATTCATTCACCTACTAAAGGACAACTTGCTCATTTCCAAGTTTTGGAAATTATAAATAAAGCTGCTACAAAAAAATTAAAAATAATAAAATATAATTGCTCATGATTTTCTATCAATAACAATGTATTTTGGGGTTTAAAATATATGTACAAATAAAATAAATCTATAATGACAATTGCAAAAACTTAAGATGGAAGAAATGGTCTCAATCAGTTAAGAATACTATCAATATAAATTATCACAGACAGGATGACTTAAAGAATAAGCATTTCTCCCAATTCGGAAGGCTACAAAGGCTCAGGGCACCAGCATGGCTGGGTTTTGACAAGAACCTGCTTCCTGGTTGCAGATAGCCAGCTTCTCATTGTTCTCTTCATATGGCAGAAAGAGGATAAGAGAGATCTTTGGGCCCTCTTTTGCAAGGGCACTTATCACATTCATGAGGGCTCCACCCTCGTGTGCTAACACCCTACCTTCTAATACCATCAAATTAGGGGTTAGAACTTCAACATATGGACTTTGGGGGCAACACAAACAATCTACTGTAGACATATTCTGTTATAAGATTCTTACATGATGTGTGAGATAGTATATCACTTGAAGGTAGACTATGGTAAGTACCTATTATGACAATGCAAAAAAAAAAAAATTATAGCTAAGGGAGAAAAAGATTAAATTGAATAACAAAAATAATTAACCCAAAACAGGCAGAAAACAAAGAAATAAAGAAAATAAGAGACAGCAAGATGGTAAAAATCCAACGATGTCAAAAATTACACTATAATTGGCCTTAACGGTTAAAAGTTAGAGATTTATAAATTGGAAAAAAGAGCAAGACTCTATCATATATTGCTTAAAATGAATACACTTTAAATTAAAAGACAAATAGCTTAAAAATAAAATGTTGGAAAAAGAATATGAAAATGGGATTACTTACATTAATTACAGACAAAGTAGCCTGTAGAGCCAAAAAAATCACCTAGGGGAAAAAAGTTGTTTTTGTTTTTTTCCTATAATGCTTAAGAGTGACAAAGGGGCAAATATTTAAGTAGCTAATAACAGATCATCAAAATCCATAAAGCAAAAACTGAGAACTGTAAGAAGTTCTACCCAGAAGTGTAGCTGGAGATTCCAAGAACCTTCTAAAATAAACTGATAGATTACAGAAAGAAAATCAGTAAGGACATTATCAACCAGGTCAACTTAATTGAAATTTATAAAATGCAGCATCCAATGGCAACCAAATACACATTCTCTTCAAGAGCACATGGAATATGGACTATACAGCAAGTCTCAAGAAATTTAAAATAATTCAAATCATACCAAGTGTATTCTTTGACCACAGTGTAATAAAATTTGAAGTCAACAACTGCAAGGTCTCTAGGAAATCCTCAACTAAAGAAAACACTTCTTAATTTTTGGTTTAAAGAAGTAATCAGAAGACAGGCCTAAGGACATGGATCCTCTTATCTTCCTGGTGTAGCCAGCTACACTGATTAAAGTTCCTTTCATGATTTTCACCATTACCGTTTCTGTTTGGTTTGGGGGACGAGTATCGGATTTGATTTATTGGATGCCCAGAGTCAGTCCCTGGCTTAGGACTTTGGTAATCACTTTGACGAGCCTTGCCAGGAGAAAGCATGCATTAGCCACTTGCAGTTTGCTTCTCCAGAACGAAGAGGGCAGACAAAGAGGGACCTGTGTAACTGCCAAAATTACATTCATTTGGGGAGTCTCTCCCTTTCTTTCCGCTTCAGGATGGCATCAGTTCCTTTATACCATCATTTGTTGAAACAGAAATTGAACTTTTTGGACTCTAGAGGCCCCAAAGTCTGAACCCTGGTAGGTTCTACCCCGCAGTGCAAGTTGGGCCTTGCCCTTCTTCCTTTTCGTTCTTGTTTGGGGGCTATTTTGAGCAATTTGAATTCTTTTGAATGGAGCTATTTGTCTGAAAGGTAAGTCTGGATTCTGTAACTTTGTGGTGCCAATTAATAGAAAAGGGGTACACAAAGAAGCCAGGCTGGTTTGGGGAGATCTCTGTTGTAATTTGCATAAGAATGGACAGCTCTGATTCTGTGCAGGTGGCCTCCTAGGGAGAACCTGAAAGTGTACTTTTAATTATAAAATGTAATTATTTCATGTGTTCTTCTGTCTGTTCACAATGCCTGACTTGGTAAAGGAAAAAAAAAATGTGATGGCTGGCAGTCACCGCCTCTACTGAAAATTTACTGTTTGGTTGGCAGTTGTTGATTCCGAGTTGGTTAATTTGGATAGCCTTTGTTTCAGAATAATTGTCTGCTAGCATCCAGTCTTTTTCTTCTTTCTCTACATTGTGCAGATTTGCCTTTTTTGCTTTTTTGTCTCTTTCTCCTGATCTTTGCAGCCTTGCACCTTTTAGTCCAAAACACAAGTCCATCAGTTAGCTCAGAAGGTTAACAATTTTGAAAGAAGGGACATCTTTGCTAAATCAGAAAAGAAATTCAAGAAAACAGATAGTGTTTGGAGAAAAACCCCATTTGGTACTCCAACTGGTTTTATGTTTGATGATTATAGTGCCGCAACTTGCATGTACTTAAGAAATTTAAAATTTAATATTTAATATTTAATATTCCTGATTTTTTTTAGCGGTTTTGGGCAGGGGGGTGCAGCGTGCTGGGGATTGAACACAGGGACTCAAGCATGTCAGGCAAGCATGTTAATATATGAGTAAAATATATGCAAATTTAACTCATGTTAATATATGAGTAAAATATATGCAAATTTCTGACCAGCCATTCTAAATTCTGATACAATGGGAAATGTTTTAAAATTTAACACAAGCTCTTTCTAAACTGACTGAAATCTGTGATAAAACAGGAAGAAAGAACTTCAGGAAGCTCAAAGGAGGTTTTCCCAAGTTGGGTGAACATATAAAGTGCCCTTTACCCTACAACTGACTAGAAAACAAGTTGGGTCAGGATGACTTATCAACTAGATAGTTCTCCAAAATGTGATTTTTCTAATCCGTTATGAAAGAAATGTCCACATGTAAGGGTTCCTCCCTCTATTAATTAGCTCTTAAATTAGGGAAAGATTAGCCTAAGACTGCATGACTGCCTCACTCTTAAAACACTTGCTTTCACTAGGCCTTTGTTTTTGCCTTCTCAAAAATGTTTGGTCTAACATTTGTGTATTTGAGATGTAAATTTTCTGCTTTGTTTCAATTAAGTTATATTTTTGGAAGTTCAGATTTAAGATTAAGGATGTTTTAGGACTATATCAACAGATCAGTTTAAAAAAAGAACAGCAAATGGTGACTTTAAATGAAAGCTATGAAATCTTTGTTTTCTGTAATTTTTATGAATGTATATGTGTTATGTCTGCATAGTATCATATTGGCTAATAAACAAATGAACTCTCAGACATTTTTAAAGGCTATGAGTCTAAATACTTTAGTTCACATGTCTTAAATAAATCTTTGATAAATTAATTCTGTTGGTTAGACAAAAGTAAAGATATCTTTAAGATGATAAATACCACTTTTTTCCCCCTAGGTTACTAGACATTTGAAATTGTATTTTTCTCTGTTGTTTAAAGTACAATGTCAATTGCTTTTATTTTGGGGGGGAGGCAGGAAAAATGCCTTAAATGTTAACTATGCTCATCTGATATTTTGGTTTTCATGGGTAAATGAAAAATAAGCCGTTTTAAAAAATGGATAAATTTCCTGGGTGTGGTGGTTCCTACCTATAATCCCAGTGAGACAGGAACAAAGGACTGGTAGTTAGAGGAGACAGTAAATGATGGGGTCAGAAAGATGAGAACTGATTATCAAAGTAAAGGAAATGGGTTGCTAACACCTCCAGAGCACTTCCTCCACTCAACTGGTTGCTAACACCTCCAGGGAAATCTTCCCAGCACAAGGAATTGCTAATGATCACCCCCTGGGCTGCTCCCTCTTACCCTTAGGCAAATAGACAAGGAAGTGGGGGGGTGGAGAAGAAATCTGGGATCTATAAAAAGGCACATGCACCCCTTCCCTGGGGCACCCAGCTCTGGGCCCCAACTTCTCTCTGGAGAAGTCTGCTATCTCTGTTCTGCCTCTTTCTTAAATAAATTTGCTTTCTATGCTTGCCATCAGGGTTTCTCCGTTTTTCAGTCTTTAATACAGAGGGAACAAGGACCTCATCCTGATTTCTAAGACCAGTATCACCACATCTTGGAAGCCTGAGGCAGGAGATTTGCAAATTCAAGGCTAGCTTCAGCAATTTAGCATGGTCCCTGCAACTTAGTGAGTTACAGTCTTAAAATATAAAGGACTGGGGATGTAGTTCAGTGATAAAGTTCCCCTGGGTTCACTACCTAGTCCAAAAGGTGTGTGGGGGGGTACTCTTGTCCTCTTAAATTCTTTAAGAAAAAAATATATATTTGAGTCTACATAAAGTGTTTTATAAATTATTGGTATATGGAAACAACAGTTCAAGATTGCTTTGTTTCTGGGTCTTCAATAAAAAGTAAGCTTACAAAGAGTGAAAATTCTAATTAACACACATGTAATTCTATATGCAAAAATATGAAGAATTTCAGTTGTGTTTTAATTAAAATACTATAGAAAGCATAAAGTAGTTTATCACACTGAGGAAAAAAAGGAGAAATCTAATTTTAAAAATTTTATATGGATTGTTTTAGAATATAAACTGAAGACAAGAAAAGAGTAAGCTAGAAAAAGAAAGAAATACAAGAAGTTATAGGTATGGGGATTTATTTTGGTAAGAAAAATTAAAAGGAAATGTTTCTGCATGACAAAGTATCTTGTATAGGTAAGTAATATTTTTGCCCTAAATTTCAAGATGGGAAAAAGTGAGACGGGACAAAATTAAGGATATAAACAAGTTGTGGAGAGTCTAAGTAAGTTGCATAAGGTTTGCAGAAGATAAATCTTAGGAAAATTTTATGTTTAATTTAGTTGTCTATAATTAAACCAGTTAAAATCATATATGGGTTTTTCTAAAGTCAAAATTTAATGTACTGATATAAAATCAGAATCTAATTCTTTTATGTTTAAAACAATAAGAGTTTATTAAAACATTGATTTGATCTTATTTGTCAAGGTGATTTCTTGTGTCTGTTAGGTTTTTATCACTTAGGGAAACTAAGTCTTACAAGAATTAGGGTTCACTTAAGTACCTATTTTAAAGTCTTTTAAATGATTGCTTTATAACTCTGATTAAATATACAACTGCTATGTTAGGTTATTATAGTACATTTGACACCCTAAATATATGCAACTGGAAATACATATATATCTGAGGGCTAAATACATTTGTCAAAGCTTTGCCTAAACATTATGTAAAAGTTTGTGGAATTAGAGCTATACAGATTTAATATAGGCAAGTTAACCAATAAGTGCTCTATTCAATACAATATACATTGTATTTGTACATTAAACATATAAAATGAACGATTAAACTTTTGGCATTTTCACCATTTGTGTATATTAGTGAGTCACTGTCTTAAAATAAAAAGGACTGGGGTTTAGTTCAGTGATAAAGTTCCCCTGGGTTCAATACTCAGTTGAATACACATATTTTATACACACACACACACACACACACACAATATATATATATATACACACACACATACATACATACACATATGGTACACTTGTACATCAGGTAATAATCTATTTGTGGTCATTAGCATGGTATTCTAAACCTATAAGAGGCCTAAAATTATCCTTTGATTTTGTTTGTCGTTAATCTAGATATACCTGTAACTATAGTTATCCTATGGAACCAGGGATTCCAAATTTTGCTTCAAAAGTTAAAATTAATATGAAGTTAATATGAAGACATCTATGTAACTGGGATGGTAATCATTATTGACTTCTTTGTATGTGAAATTTATTTATGTTCCCCAATAGTACAAGCCTTCTAAAATGTAAAGCTTAGGAGAGCCCTTTACTATCCATGGTCTCCAAACTAAAATCTGTTAGTAGGACAGCCTTTTTTTTTTGCTTATATAAAAATAGAAAGCTTAGACTTATTTATGTCATTTAATGTTCTTTAACTGGGTAAAAATGTAATCAGTAATTGATATATGGAGAAATACCTGGGGTAGGAATTTAAATGTATTTTTTAATGATAATAAGGAGGGCCTGATTTTTTTAAAGACTAGCAATGTGGAATATGGAAATGTTTTGCTGCTTTTTCTACAAAGGAAGGAAATTAAAGAGGACTGACTCTTAGCCTTTCTGTTTGATTCATGTTTCAGATGTAATACTATTATGTTAACTTATATTCAGATAGAAAAATATAGGAGAATTTGTTTTCTTTTATTCCTAAAAACAATGATATTTAGAAAGGGGCAAAGATTAGCTTCAAATGTAAAACACTTTAAGATTCCAAAAGGCCACCCTCACCTGAGGTAAGGCTTTGCCTCTTGCCCTATTCAATGTTAGGATGGCCCCAAAGTAGGCTAAAATTAAACTCATTTAAAGTTCTGTTAAAAGGATAAATTTGTGTTGTAAAGATTACTATCATCCCAAAATAGAAAGAAATATATTGCAAAACTACATAAGGGTTTGGGTAAATTATAAAAGGTATTTAAACATTGTAACAGGTTTCAAAACAGAAACAGAATTTGTAAAAGATTTGTATGTGATTGAGTTGACTATGGTTGTTTTTTTTTTTTGCAGAAGCTAAAAAGATATCAAAGATACACTAGTGTTATTAAAAATGTTTCTTGATTCAGAGCTCTTATACAAACTGAATGTTTTTCCTCTTGTATTTTCCTTGTAAAATTTTACAACTGTTGTCTGTTGATGTTTTACAGAAATACAATTCCTAACAGAATAAGCTGACTTTGTTTGAGATAAGAAGTCATCACCTTCAAGACAGACAAGATGTGATGCTGACTCCAGTACTAATACTGACCCCAATTAGATGGAAGGTATAACTGTAAAAATCAAAACTCATTACTCCCTCTTCAAGACTGGTGGAAATGGGCTTCTGGGATTTTCAAAACCAATATTTGGTGCCCAAAGACAAACAAATAAAAGAGCTATGGAACAAAACCAGCCAATATGTTGGCCCTTACCCTCCAAGGTCAGCCAGGACCTAGTTAATGATGGGATCCCTTTAAGGGCCCTGTATCTCAGATGAGTCACTCTGATAGGGGAAAGACTTAGGTGAGTGATGAGAACATGAGATTAAGGGAATAGTTCCAGAAACTGGGCCCACTGTGCAGACCCAGCATGCATTCTTTTCTAAGAAGCAATTTACCTGCAACCCTGCCTGGCTTACATGGACAGGATATTGTTACATTCCTCAGAAAACTACCTGTTATCTGCAGGAGAAAAGCAGATCTGAAATAATGTCCATAGAAATACAAGTTACCCTAAAATATGTATGTGGGACTTTTGTGACCCTTACACAGAGCAAATCCCAGGTAAAAATAATTCTCCATAACCATAACATCTGAGAGAACAGGTTTTAATTAGAACTGGTCAGCATGAGCCATAGTGACCTAGAGTGGTCATTCATGACAGCTGAGACTGAAAGTCTGATGTCATCCTGCTGTCAGTCAGAAGTTAGTATGTAGAACTGGACAGGACTCTCTGGAAACTCCACTGAACCCCCCCCCCCAAAAAAAAAAGTGCAGGAAAGGTACATGGTCCCACTCCTCTCTGAGAGAACACACTCTCTCCCTTGAGAGTGTCCCCCCTTTCCTTTTTAATAAACATATGCCTATTTCTCTGAGCGACATGTCTGAAATCTTTCTGACTTGATCACTAGGATCAGGGTTTAAAGCAGGGTGGGGGGTGTCTTCTTGCTGCCTCAGTTTCATGGAAGGCCCCAGCTCTGTAACAACTTGACCTCTTGATCAGGGGAATTGCCAGGACCCTGGAGAACAGAAAGCCAGTCAGTACACATTTTGCAAACAAGAGGGTCATTGGAGAGGGGGATGTCCCTAAATGCTTCCAAGGGAAGTCACATGTAGTCAGCAACACTCTGACCCAATTTGGCAGATGGCACAACTGGTAGAGAAAAAGACAGAAAGAGTCAAGAGGCTCCTCAAAAGTGCCTAAAAAGTAACCCCTGAGGAGTCTCAGCTGGACTTAACAAAAGGAAGGAAAGAGGACAACACAGGGGGCCCACAATTAGGTAATCAGTCTTGAACACCCAATGGAAAGTATAACCGGAGACAAATGTACTAATATGGAGTGGAAGAAAAGTCAAAGAACAGTTATGCAAGAATAATTAAAAGGGAAAGACAGTGGCCCTTTTAAAGGTGACTTGAGACGTGCACTTGTGTCAGCCCTCCCAAAAGTTAGTAAGGCCAAGATATTTTGGAGATGACATTCTTATTGCCTGACACAAAAGCCAGGAACCTCCAGATCGAAGGTAGAACTCATAGCTTAGGCAAGGGCCCTCCATTTAGACAAAACCAAGAAAATGACTATTCTTTTCTGAATAAGAGTGTGTGTGTGTTTGTGTTTGTGTATGTTTGTGTTTGTGTGTGTGTGTGTGTGTGTGTATTTAGTAGTCCATACTCACAGAACTATGAAAAAGGAAAGAGACACCCTCCAATCTGAAGATTGGACATCTTCAGACTTTGACTCTTATATTCTGCTTTATAGCTTGTAATGGCACTTCTACTTTTAGGCTTAGACATCTAACCCTTTTTTGCCTCAATTGTAATTCGAAAGCTAGTAATCACTGGGCCAGGACAACTGGAAAATCAGACTGGCTGACACCCTGATTCCCTCAAGGTTGAGGAATGGCCAAAAGATAGAGTTGTAACAAACACATAGACTCTACTTTTGCCTTCAAATATCGAATGGGTAGCTAAAAGCAGGATGAGAGCCTTGGCATCTCTGCCTCCATTCTGCATCTGTCCCCTTCACTCCAGGTCATCTTGGATTCCTGAAACGAGGTCTGATCCAATGAACACTGTGTGATAAATGGAAGCTACCAGCAGTGACAGCAAGGTCACACCTGCACTTGATCAAGATCACCTGCTTTGACAGCAATCCTTCTGGCTATGCAGACCCCCCCCCCCCACAAACACACACCGTTGCCCTCATTCCCCTTTTCTATAAAACCTCAAAGTCTATTAGCTGTTGAAGACAGGGCTTTGGATACAGGTCCCCTTGTCCTTCTGTCTTCCTGGTGTAACTACACTGATTAAAGTGAGGAGGAGGAGGAAGAAGAGGAGGAGGAGAAGGAGGGGGAGCAGAAGGAGGAGCAGCAGCCAAAGGGAAAATTAGAAAGTACTTTGAACCAAATGAAAATGAACCTATATATAACACCAACATTTGTGGAATTCAGCTAATTCAGTATTTAGAGGTGAATTTATAACACAAAGCACCTATATTACACAGGAAGAAAAGCCTCTCTCAAATTACCTTAAAACTCCAAAACTAACAGTAAATTAATCTGAAAATAATCATAAGAAATTAAATAATATAGATCAGGTTATGTAAATATTAAAGAGATAGTAAGGAAATATTATAGACAATTTTTTCTATCAAAAAATCAACAAATTTAAGGGAAGAATACAAATTTCCAAAGACACTTCAAAAAGATATAGACAGCCTAAAGAGTCATATATCCTAAGGGAAAATGAATTTTAGTTTAAAGTTTCCTCATCAAACAAACAAACAAAAACAAAAACAGGTAGATCAGGTCTTAAACATTTAAGGAAGAAATAATACCTCTTCTATACAAACTCCATAGAAAAACTGACAAGGATGGAATACTCCACTCATCCTTTATCCGCTGTTGGTATTACTCTCATATCAACAGCAGATAAAGACCTTGCTATGGTACAGATGTGGTTTGTCCCCATAGGTTCATGGATTGGTGTTTGGTCCTAGGGTAGTGATGTCGGGAGGTGAGGGGCCTATAAGAGGTAGGACCTAGTGGGAAGTGATTCAGAATCATCTGTCTTTACTGAAAGCTGTTTTGAGGATGTGCCCACCCAAAGCCCAAAGGTAAAGCCTGTGGCAAGTAACAAAACAAAATGACAACCAACATGCTGCAGTATTTCAGAGTCTGAGAAAGGTGACCCTGACATTCATGACATAAACTCCCTGTTACTGTCACACCGTGTTACCATCACATGTGCAGAAATACAGCTCAAGAACAAAAGGGTTCGAAATCAGGAATTCAATGGTGTTTCTAACTTGGTTCTATGGCTGAGAGTGCCATGTCTGTACTGTGATCATACTATAAGCAAACTTCTTCTCAAAGTCTGTAATGGCTATTGCACAATGGGAATTATCCTTGGATTAACTATTTATTGGGTAGACAAATAAGTAACTGTGTTTTCATGGTGATTATCTACTGAGATCAAAGAAAATAACAACACTGGAACCAAAAGCATCTCAATAGTTAAAAGATGAAGAGGTTCAGGATGTCATCAGAATGGTAAAACCCATCTATTTATGCAGGTTTGAACAACCAATTTGGTCTTCATAAATAATTAACCCACCTAGTCTTTGGCCTGAAAATTGGGTAATAGTTTGAGGAACTCTGATGTCTGTACAACCTATTTAAATGTCAAGAGGGCAAACAGATAAAGTCTAGAAAGTTCTGTGATTTGCTGGGATTATGGGAAAGCAAATTAGCATTTATTGTAACATATCTATGGAAAAAAATGTGTCACTATGTTCCATTTAGCAACCTTACCCAATGACACACATTCATGAGGGCCACAGACTCACCCAGAATGCATTTGTGCCCTGAAGTTGATAGGGGTTGTGGTCAAATGGAGAATCACATGACAGGGTCAAATACTATATATTTAATAAAAATTGTACTTAATAACCAATATTTTAATTTAATATTTAAAGCCGAGAAAAGGCCATGCCAACCCAGAGGAGAAAAACCATGTCTCCCCCAGGGAGTATCTCCCAGCTGGAATTCACAGCTATGGCCTCAATTTTACTCACTTCAATTATGCAGCCAACTGGGCATCATAGTAAACAACTTTATAAACCCTCCATCTTGGTGTCCCAGTTGTCTCAGTCTTCCTGATTCATGCTAAATCCATTCTTCTCCAGCTCTGGGTAGGTATCTGGTATTTGGCCCCAACTCTGAGGTGGGGCCCATCCAGTCCTGGCTGCAGAGTGGAGGCCCTGGGCTGAGGATATGCCCATGTGGCCTCAGACACTGCTCATATAAAAAGATCTCAAACCAGAGGCTGATGGCAGGGCTGATGGCAGGGCTAGTGGGTGTTAGGAGCCAGACTGCTGGATTTTGCTGGACAGCTGGCAGAGCAGAATAAATATCAGCAGCAAAACCCATCAAAAAGAGGCTCCTCCCATTACCTGGCAAGCTTGGGCAAACTGCAGCTGGTCTCCTTTCTAAGAATTGGTATGTGCCAGCACCTGAAACCATTACCCACCACCAGGGAGGTTGACCTAGAGACTCCCAACCAATAGGTCCCCAGTGTCCTGCTTCCAGTTGTACTGGGACAATGGGGAGCATCAGCAGGTGCAGGTTACTCCAATAGATTCATAACCTACAGCCAAGGGACAAAGTCACCTGCAGAAACCAAGCCAGGAGGGATCCAGCATGCCTTCCTCCTTCACTCCAGTCTGGGGCCAGTGTGTCTACAAGGTAATTTCGATTATTCTTGGAAGCCCAGACTGAGGTTCTCACCCCCATTTTATGGCTGGAAAAAGGCGAGTATGGTCGATCACTGGTTGTGACATTGCCAGAATGTGGGACAGGGACTACCTAATGCCAGGCCCAGCCCTTGTTACCCCTCCTGCTACTGAGCAGGGTTTTTGCCCTCCACTGTGTAGCCTGCTGCCACTCAGTCTCAGGAATGAGAGGACAAACCAAAAAGCTCTCCTGCCAAGCAGATATGTCAGAGCTGGTCCCACTGCCACAAGACACCTGGGCACAATCAGGTCTTCCATGTCCACAGTGAGCCCTCTGCTTCAGCCACTTAGGACTGAAAGATCCTGACATTCTCTTCTATGGACCCTGTTTTCCAATGTGTAATTTCACCTCCTGGGCAACACTATTCTGAGGTATAAATGCAATCGGATAGTTCCAACAGCCAAGAGCTATTCTTGATATATCAGAATAAGAAGACTGCCTTTTGCTAAAGCTAAGATTCATCAAGCCTTCATTCCCCACATTCAGGTGAAGAAAATTAGGTGGAGCAATTAGCCCAGAGAAAGATAGTCTGCAGATGGGATATGAGCCTGGGTAACCTAATCCTGACTATTCAAATGCCTCATATCCCAGAGGCCTGGGGAGCACAGAACAATTGGGGGCCCAGGCACAGACAGAGATGCATTCACATTAGCACCAGGTGCTGCCCTGGTCCCACCACAGACATAGGTAAGCCCTTATGACTCTGAACTTAGCTACACAGCATGGGCTCAGGTAAAGATCTGACAGTTGGCATCTGTCTCACATCTGAACAGATTTCAAGAAATTGTGATTCCCCACTTGCTAACCAGAAGGTCAAGGTCCAAAGCCAGCTCATACCACTACTTCTTGGAATCCCTCCATAAGGGGTCCTCATGCCTCTCCTGTCAGAATTTCCCAGGATACTTGTCAAAAATATAGATTCCCAGTTCCCACCCACAGAGCCACTCAATATGGAGTGGGTGGAATGAGATTCGTCATTCCCTTATTTCCCAATAACTCTAATGGGACTTGCAACCATCATCCAGACCCCACAGAGTCCGAGGCCCCTCTACCTAGGATGGGGAGCTCACTGCCTCATAAAACAGCCATTCCGACATTATTATCTTGAACACTCTTCCTGTAGCCTTCCATATAGTCATTCCATGGGGATTGTCCCTAATTCTCAAGCCCCTGGCACAGGTCTCTTCCAGAACCTGGTCCTTCCATACTGCTGAGTGGGGACCTCTGCAGGTCACATAGCCAGTGAATGTGTCAGCCAGCTGCCCCAGTTGCTGAAGGATCCCCATCCCACACCCCCAGGAAGGAGAGAGGGCTTATCTTGCCTGTGCTGCCCAGAGGTAGTCCAGCCGCAGCCTCACGTCCACCTGCCTGGCGTGCAGGGCCAGCGTGCACGAGAACAGCAGGATGGCCACGATCGGCTCGTAGCTGCGCCCAGAGACACCACCGCCCCTGGGGGAAGGTGAGGAAGAAACCCCAGTCAATGTAGAGCTTCCAGGCAAGACGTGGCCAGCAAACCCTGGAGCAGGGCAGAGAGTGGTCCTCAGGTGGTGATGCCCACAAACAGCTTGCTGGGGCTGACCCAGGCCAAGACCTCCTTCTCAACAGGAAGTCTGATGCCTTGCTAGAACCTGGGCTGAAGAGGAGAAATGGAAAAGCCATGGAACTAAAAATTTTGCATAGACTTGGTCCTCGTTAATTTGCTAATTGGAAGAGGCTATATGTAGCTGTACACACAGATTTCACCAACAGCACCCCACCCGGGGCCTTTTCCTTGAGGCAACCACACTCACTCGGCCTTGGTGTATCCGCTGAGCTCCAGAACGAGGATGTAGGATGTGGTGAGTCCAGACAGCAGGATCATCTTTGGCAAGGAGGACACCCGCAGGAATATGGCTAGCGGGAGGGTACCCACCAGGCAGCAGAGCAGGGCGTGATGTGCAGACTCACAGGGCAAGGCAGGCAGCACAGTGCGCCGGCCCCCAGCCGCAAGGACCACCAGGGAGCTGTTGGACTGGGAGCTCCAGGCCCAGGGTAGGCAGCCCACCTGGGGAATGAGGGACGTAGGGATTTAGGAAAGGCCAGGAAGCAGCCAGCATTCTCTCAGAACATTCAGGTATCCCAGTCTCCCAGCTCTCCATGCCTTCTACCATAACCCCCCCCCCCCCGCCCAACCCCGTGTCACCAGCCAGGCCTCAACCATCCTGCTGCCCACAGCCTGCAAAGGCTGCAGGGAAAGGGGTTAAGTAGGACCTAGAGGTACCATCCCTCCCTGCACCCCAAGCCTGGCATCTCTATCCTGTGACTCCTGCCCCAGCTGCCCTTTTGTTCCTACTATCCTGGCTTCATCTTGTTAGTCCTGCCCCAGTTCCATCCTGTTTCTTCTGCCCCCTCCATCTGTTACTCCTGCCCTGTTCCCTCCTGTTAGTCCTCCCTGCTCCCTCCAGTTCTCTTGCCCCAGTGCTTTTCAAAAGTTATAATGGATGCTTACCACACATCCTTGGGCTACAGAATAGATTAAGACCACTATGAATATGCACAAGACGGTACGAATCTGAATCGTCAGGCACCCTGGAAAACACTGAACAAAAAAACATCATTTAAAAAATATCATCTGATTAAAAAGTAGATTCATGTGCATAATAAATGATCCACATGAAACAGAATGCAAAGAATGGTCTGTATGTCCCTACACCATCACCTGTTCATCCCCCACACAGATTTCTTGGCTGTTTTCATATACTTCTTTCCCAGATGAAGAACCCACCAAAGTTTTTAAAACCCATAATTCTTTAAATTAAAAAGGATAATATCACCTTCCTTCTGCCAGGCAGTGTGACTTTGATTGGCATTAAAATAGAGTAGAATAATTGACATTTTCATTATATGCATTCTCCTATTTTAGTAATGTCAAGAATTTCCACTCATTTTTCTTCTTTTATGGCTTTTAAGTGACTTTACCACATTCTTTGTGTAGGCTTTATATAATTCTTAAAAGTTCATAGGACTTTTATTGTAAATACAAATACAATTGAAATATTCAATAAATGTTTTCAAGCATAAAAGTAAAAAGTCCTTTTATACTCACATTCCTGAAAATAAAAAATACACACCAAAATAAATACCCATAGCATCTTATGGGAAACAACACCAGCACCAACAGCAGGCACCTGGAAGGACATCCTTGGAGATCTGCAAATTATTCCTGCAATCCGGGAGTATTTTTTCCCACTGGGCAGCTAAGGAAAAGCTGATAAAAAAAAAAACACCTCCAAGCCCAGGATCATGAATTCCGGGGATGAGGAAAGAGCAGTTTCCCAATGCATATAGCTGGCAGGATACGAATTCAGGCCCCAATTTTTGGTTCCTGATCTTTAACATGGCCCTCCTTAGGCTGCTTCCCTAGCTCTGGCCATGGCAGAACTCCACATGGTTAGGAACATGGCCAGAGCCATTGGCAGCCCCCAACTTCCAGGCCATTAACCACACCCAGTCCCTGGAACAGGATTTTGGAACAAGGCTACTATCCTCTGCAGATAACAGCTCTCCTTTTAAGAACAGTTATTGACCCAAAGAAATGTTCTTTTAAGTTCTTGACTTAAAAGAAATGGAATGTCTGACGATGGGCCACCAAGTTACCATGTGATCTGAACTGCTCATCAAAAGCGTGTTATCTGACCCACCAAGCCACAAAGTTGGGCATGTGCAGCAGCACTCCATCACCAAATGGAAGCAATCTTTACATAATGGGCCCTGATTAGGCCCTGAAGGCACAATTAAGCTAGGCAAAAGAATTGGCCCAAATGCCCAAGGTCCCCTCTCCTGTTGCAATGCCTACTCTCTCCCAACTGTGGCCCCATGGGGGAGTCCCTATTATTGGCTGACAGAAACAGCAAAGATTCAGGCCTGGTTTACGGAAGGTTCTGCATGATATGCAGGCACCACCTGAAAGTGGACAGCTACAGCACTACAGGTCCTCTCAGGATATCACTGAAAGCAATGATGAAGGGAAATCCTCCCACTGGTAGAACTCAGGGTAGAACACCTGGGTCAGATATGCAATTATACACTGATTCATGGACTGGGACCAACAGTGTGGCTAGATAGACAGGGACTTGAAAGGAACAAGATTGAATGCTAATGAGAAGGAAATCTGGGGCAGAGGTATATGGAAAGACCTCTCTAAGTGTGAAAGAGAAATGAATTCTCACCAAAAGGTGACTTCAGGGGGATTTTTAATAATCAGGGGGATTGAATGACCTTTTCTTTAGATACCAGTCAACCTCTTTCCCCAGTGTTATGGTTTAGATAGGTATCTCCCAAAAAAACTCTTGTGTGGAATAATGCAAGAATGTTCAGAAGTGAAATGATTAGATTATGACAGCTATGACCTAATCAGTGGATTAATACAATGATATGCCTTATCTTAGGCAGACAGGGCATGGCTGGAGGAAGTCAGTCACTGGGGGTATGTCTTTAGGGCTTATTTTTTGTCCCAGGCCAGCAGTGTGCTCTCTCTCTGCATCCTGGTGGTCATGAACTGAGCAGCCAGCTCTTCTCAGCCATGCCTTTCTGCAATTTGTTCTGCCTTGCCTCTGACCCAAAGCTAAAGAGTCAGCCAATCATGGACTGAACTGCTGAAATCATGGTCCAAAATAAACTTCTTCCTCTAAGTCATTCTTGTCAGGTATTTTGGTCACAGAAACACAAAAGCTAAGTAAAACAGTAATTGGTACTGAGAGTGGGGTCAATGTTGTGAGTAATCTGACCATGTCATTCAGAAGCTTTTGGTGCCATTTGAAGTTTGAGGTAGGAACTTTGAAAAGTTTAAAGATATAAGCTGGAAAAGCTTTAAAATATTGTAAGCAGGGCTTAATGAGTGATTTCTGGTAGAAGCTCAAAAGACAAGAACACTGACAGAACTGTGGACAATAAAGACTGAGCTTATGAGGTTTCAGAGGAAAAGGAGGACTCTACCGGAAACTGGACTAGAAACCACTCATGTTACATTCTGGCAAAGAAGTTGTCTACATTTTGCCTAAGACCTGAGATTTTCTGTGGGAGATTGAATTTCAAGGTGATGTTCTAATTAATCAGGCGGAGGAAATATCAAGGCACCATAACACTCCGGGTGGCACAGATATTTCTGGCAATTTTTAGTCAAGTGATATTAAGGAACAGAAAGCAGAACAGAAAAATTTTAAAACTTGCAGTTTGGCCAGAAAAGTATAAGTAAAACTGTGGCTAAAGAAGTTGTGGTTAAAGAGATTATAGCCACTAAAGAAATGCTAAATACTTCACCCAGGGACAATAGAAAAGATGACTTCAGGGCATTTCAGGAACTCGCAAGACCACCCCCATCTCAGGTTCAAGGGTGGAAAAGTAAAAATTCCTTTGAGAAAAATGGGGCACTCTGCTTGTATAGGGGCGCCTAGGAAGTTGTTTCACCCTGCTCAGCTGCTCAGGTACTCAGAGGCTGCTGCAGCCATGATTCCAGGAAGCCTGGGTACTACTCAAGACGGTGGCCAATCTTGGCATCATCCATGTGGTGCTGGTTCTGAAGGAATGCAGGATACTGGAGTTAAGAGGTACTGGAGGTTTCTACTAAGATTTCAAAAGAAGGTATGGGAGGCCAGACAAAGTGTAGGAGGTTCCAAATCCCTGCAGACAGCTCCTGGGAGGGTGATATAGAAGGAAGCTGAAGCTGTAGTAGAGGCCCCCAAATTAAGAGATGTCAGTACGATGGAACTTCTACCAAGGAAAGCTGCAGGAATAAGCTAACAGAGGTCATGTGGGCTGCAACCATCAAGGACATAGGGGTAGAGTTACACAAACACTTTGGAAAGAACATCACAATAGCATGTGCCCCAGATGCTGGACATGAAACTGGAGAACTCATTTGCCCATTGGATTTCAGCATTGCTTTAATTCCATCCTTCTTTCTATGTCTTTATTTATCTCTTTTGAAATGGCAATGTTTACTAGCCATTAGATATGGATATATGTAACCTGCTTTTGATTTTTATAGGGACTCACAGCTAAGAGTTTGCCTTGAGACTTGGATGATAATTTGGATTTGGGCTTTTGGGTAATGCTAGAACTGTTAAGACTATGGGAACTCTTGGAAATTAACTAAATATAATTTGCATTGTGAGATGGACATGAGCTTCAGGGGACCAGGGGCAGAATGTTATTATTTAGATATAAGGTAACTGTTACCACTGTTGACCGGTGAGGAGTCCTTGCTTCCCCAATATTGAAGAATAACACCAGAGAAGCACGCTGAGGCAAGGTCAGAGTAGAAATTAGAAGTTTATTAAAGGACAGCAGAAAAGACTTCTCCTGGAGGAAGAAGGGGACCCAAGAGGTGGAATCTGTGGAAGTGCAGTTGTTTCCCCTTTTTATAGTTCTTTCAGTGATGGAATGTAGGTTGGAAAGTCGGAGGGGTGGGACACAGGTCTGCCAAAGAAGTAATCTGGGCAGGAAGGACTTCATTAACACTTCTTTGGGATGGGCTATCTCCAAATCTGTTGGGGGCTGTTTCCTGGGCTCCATTAACATTCCTTTGGGATGGACTTTGGGCCTAGGGCTTTTCTTGGGACTTCATTAACATTCCATGAGTTGTCCTGCGTTTCCTGGAATTTATTCAACATGGCCTCCATTTTAGATCCTACTTGGTATTAGACCCAGATTTACCTAACTACACTGACTACCTAACTTTAAATCTGGCTTCATAACCACCAGGGCTCATGTGAGACAATGTAAAAATGTCCAAAGATGATATGGTTAGATTATAAGAGCTGTAGCCTAATCAATGGATTTATACATTTAATGGATTAACTTGAAAGGACTACTATACTGTGTGGTGAGTATAAACAGGTAAGGTGTAGCCAGAGGAAGCAGGTCACTGGGGAAAGCCTTTGGGGTTTATACTTTGTCCCTGGCAAGTGGATCTCACTGTCTGCATCCTGGCTGTCATGAACTGAACAGCTCTCCTCCAACAATGATGGACTTGGGCTTTTGAGTAATGCTATGATGTTCTTTATCTTTCTGCAATTATGTTCTTTATCACCTTAGGCCAGAGCTATGAAGTCTGCTGACCATGGACTGAACCAAAATAAACTTCCTCCTCTAAGTTGTTCTTGTTGGGTCTTTTGGTCACAGTGATGAAAAGCTGACTTAAATAGCATATCAAACAGTCAGTGCTTCACTGCAAGCTAGTTAGTGCAGGGCCATGAAAATGACCATGCAAGCAGAAACCATATAAATATAACTTTAATAATCAATGGGAAGAATTATGATTCCCCAAAACCCTTTAAAAATTTGCCAAAAACAGTTTTTTAAAAATCCTCTAGGTTATAAATATATGGAGAAAATTTTTAAATTAGTAAAATGAATTTTATTTAGTATATTTGGGATTGGCATAATTCCTAAAAGTCCCCAAGGTTTCTCAGCTAAATCTGGGCCAGAGACTATGATGAATGAGAATGTCCATGATCATGTGATATTTGTGGCAAAAGGGACTCTAAAGCTGTAATTAAGCTTAATAATAAGATAATTCTGCATCAGACAGGAGTACTTGCTGTACCTAATCTAATCACATGAGGCCTTTCTTTGCTGTGCACATTCCTTTTAGTTTGATGCAACTTCATTTGTCTATTTTCCCTTTTGTTTCATGTGTTTTTAAATCTCTGTGAAAAAAAAGCATTGTCCACATGAAAGCCATGGAGCTTTTCCTCTATGACAATGAATAAAGTGAAGAAATAACCCATACTTTGGGAGATAATGTCTGCAAACATTACATCTGATAAGGGAATAATATCCAAAATATATAAGTATTGAGACAACTCAATAGCAGAAAAAAAAAACCCCAAATAACCCAATTTAAAATGGGCAAAATACACATTTCTCAAACGAAGACAAAGATCACTGATCATCAGAGAAATGCAAATTTAAACCACAATAAGATATCACCTCTTTCCAAGTAGAATGGTTATTTTTTTTTTTTTTAAAAAAGGCTTTTGTTACAAGTGTTAGCAAAAATGTAGAGAAAATTGTATAATGTTGGTGGGAATGTAAATTAGTACATTCCTAACAGTATGGAGGTGCCTCAAAAAATTAAAAATAGAACTACCATACAATCCAGTAACCACACTACTGGGTATAGAGCCAAAGGAAATGAAATTAGCATGTCAGATAGTTATACTCCCGTGTTCACTGCAGCACTATTCACAAGGGCCAAGACATGGAATCAACCTAGGTGTCCATCCAAGGATGAATGGGTACACTTACACAATGGAGTACTATTTAGCCTTATAAAAGAAGGAAATCCTATCATTTGCACCAACATGGATGAACCCAGAGGACAATATACTTGTTTCACTAATAAGCCAGGTATAGAAGCACAAACACCGCATGATCTCACATATATGTGGACTCCAAAAGTCAAATTTCTAGGAGAGTAGAATGGAGATTGCCAGCTGGTGGTATTGAGGGGTGAGAATGAAGATGTTGGTCAATGGGTACAAAGTTTTAAGTGGACAGAAGGAATAACATTTTGAGATGTATTGCTCAGTGTGGTAACTATAACATTATGTACATCGAAATTGCTAAGATAATATATCTTAAATGATCTCACCACAAAGAAATGCTAAATATGTGAAGTAATTCAATTGCTTAATATACATCTACATACACATATGTGTACACTGTAAAATGATATATATATATATATATATACATACATATGTATATGTATATCATAGCCTCACATTGTATGCCATAAATGTATGTAGTTGTTACTCATCAAAAAAATTTAATGAAAAAAAGAGATAATTTTCTCTGGTTGATGGCAGAAGGGTAAGTCAGAAAAGTTGAATCTCTAGAAGTACAGTGCTGTAATAGGTATCAAAACATAGGAACAGCTTTGGACCTGGGCAGCAGGAGGAGGTAGGAAAAATTCCAAGGAGCAGGCTAGAGAAACCTTGTTTCAGTCTTTATCCCAGAGACTGATATTGGATCTGCTACGGTCAAATCCCTACAAGGAGCATTTCTATACAGAAGGATACTTGTATGCCCTCAAGGTTCTGCTCCTCTGAGAAAATCTGATTTACGTGAGGTTGGCAACTGATTCAGTGCAGGAGGCTTTGAGATCTTTAGAGAGATACAGAGAGGCATCAGCTCCTATTCCAGATGCATGGTAGATGTACATAAAGCTGGGTTGGCTGCCATTATTTTGAAACCCTTAAAGGAAACTAGCTTTGGGCTGAGACTGGCTCTAGGGGATAGAGAGAAAGAAATTTGTCTCTGATGGCAGAATGGAGTCATTTGACTAAAACCAACCCTGGGCTCTCCCTTGGTCTTTCTGGATGCATGAGCCAATACATAACCTTTTATCATTTCAAGTAATTTGGATTGACTATTTGGTTACTTGCAAAATGACAACTGCTGCCCAGGAACTTTATAGAGGTGGCATCTTTGGGAGGCTGGCCACTCTGGCTCACACCCTCAGTGAGGAAACTGGAGTACTTCAGATCCTCTCCATCTGATGCTCAATATTTGTTCCTAGGAATATATTTTATCATGTAAACAGAAGCTAAACTATCTCTCTAGGAACTGAATAATGATAATTACAAGAACCAATGCAAAGGGTGAAGGTCCCATGGACACCTGGCTCTGAACACTGTTGACATCAGGGAAGAGAACATTTCTACACTGTTGATGCCACAAGGGTCCCAGGAATATGTTCTGGGAACTAGACCTAACCCCACCTGAGTGGCTGACCCCACCCACTCATGCCTCCCCCTTGGGTGAGCTAGCTTTTTCCTGGATGGATTTGACTTACTGTGTGCCAACCTCCCCATGCCTCCATCCTGTCATTTATCATCCCCACAGTGTATTTTATACAGGCATCTGCCATGGCCCCGATCATCCCCCACAAAGGATGCTCTGAGCCCAGTGCAGAGCCTGGTGAAGACGGTTAGTATACATTGCTGGTTCTGTCAAGCCCTGACCCAGTGGATATTTGCTGTAAGCTTGGCCCTGCCTCCTGCCTGAGCTGAGAACATACTCTGCTTTCTGCACATCAGTGCATGTGCCACTGACGCCAGCTCCTAGGAAAGTCGGGTCCTGCAGCTTTGTGAGCCTGGTGTTTCACAAACACATGGTTAGAAAAACATTTCATGCCCATGGGGGAGGGTGGGGAGTGCACCTTAGAAAAAAAAGAGAACCACTGGAGCCCGGGCAGAGTCCACCAAGAGAACAAAACATCTCAGTAAGAAGCATCACATGGGATGACGTAGACTAGTTTATTTTTAATGTTATCACTCTGAAATTACTCTGGCCAAAGTTCCCAGCCACAGGGCAGCTGCCTTATCGACCAAGAGGGTTAATTCCAGGCACAGTCACAGCCCAATCTCACTGATACATGTTTTATGGAGCCATAGAGTGTTTAGGTTTGAATATTAGTTTTATGGACAGGAGACCAGGTATAGATTTTGCTTCTAAGTCATTTGATCAGATTGCTTAGCTGCCCAAACCCCATGTCCCTCATCTACAACAAGAGGCTAATGTGTCTCAATCCCACATGGGAGGCTCAAGAAAGGGGTGTGAATCTGCTCAGGAGAATCCATATTCCTGGAGTGAGATGCCAGGTGGGTTTATGGGGCTGGTGAATTCCTCAGCTACACTTGGTGGCTGTTGTTCTTTCCCCAGCAGTATTCATTCTATTTTCTGCATATCTTAGGCTATTTGCACACCATCAGGTGGGCATGCCAGTTCCCACCATTTGTAGACAAAGTGACAGGCTTTGAAAAGTATCATCCATCATGGTTTCACTTGAAATTACATGACAAAAGCAAACTTATTTGAAGGGGGGAAATTTCAAACAAAATATCACTCAACCTATAGAAGTCAAAGAGCTGCAAATGCAGTTTTAATAAATAGTATCATCTAATTAAGAAAAAAATCAGAATGGTACCTACCTATGAATAATGACAAAGCTACACAAATAAACCTAGACCTAATCGTTTTAAGAATTGCTGTTTTCAACAATTATACAAAAATAACACTGGGTCTACTAGAAGGGACAAGTAGGGGTATTCTGGGGGAAATGGGGCAGTTGGGAATGAAGACTGAGGATGTGATGAAGGAATGAAGGGCCATGAGGAACAAAAGAGTCCTCTCTGATGAACAGCAAAAGGCACAAGGCTGTGGTGCTCTGGACTCTGCACCCAAAGTCCAAAGAGCTGAGAAGATGAGCATGGGGACCTGGAGGGCTGATGGCCCACCTAGAAAATGCTCTCCCAGGTTTGAGACGTGAAAAACCCAAGAAGGCACCCTTCCCTTCTCCCCTAATCTCTACATCTCGAACATCAGGATCAATATTTTGTGTTCATTTACTTCACTGGCATCCATCACCCACCCTTTGTGCCCAGTAGGCAGGTTGCACACAGCACACGGAACCGGGTACAGGACTAGAACATCCAGCACAAAGGCAGACATTTCCACCTGCCATGGAGGATAAGGGACAGGACTGCCTCCAACATCCCACCTGTCCTGACCAGCAGAGATGGTCCATAGGCCTGGACCAGGTGAAGTTCAGGGAGAAGTCACACATCACACACATACCTGGACCCGGGTGATGTGCAGGTAGAGGACACAGGCCACCAGGAAGCAGATACAGAACACCAGCAGGAGCAGGACAGCCACACTCCTAGAGACAGAGGACATGCAAGTCACTGCTGGTCAGAGGCCAGGTGACATAATCCAAGAGATATCTGGAAATCAGTCCTTGGTCGTACCCTCCCTCTAAATCTCCTGAGCTCTCAAGATGAAGCAGTGTCATACACCAGGTTGCCTGCCCTCAGATCCCTCGGGATTTGCCACATCTGCTATCTTCAAGGGAGGCATCTGGGGCTCCCAAGTAAAGGGGTCTTTTCTGAGTTATCCTCGACTTGCACCACCCCACCTCCAAATTCTAACCTAGGCTGAGGGACATAAACCTTTCTGAAAGCCCTTTACTCCTGACAGAAGCATAGGAACTGCTCACACAGTCTGGTGAGCTGCCCTTCTGCTGGGCTTTGTATGGGAAGGACGTTTCTAGAAAAAGCTAGATTCCCCAAACAGGGACTTTGGGAAATCACTGTGTTCAGAATCTGTGTGCATCCCACAGATGAGGCCCCCTGTCCTCACCAGGTATGAGGACCTTCTGTGTGTTTTTTGGAAACTCAAATAAGATATTATTCCCCCTAGGTAGGTTTTATAAAGAAACAGGTATGTCTGGAAGAAAAGTAACAAGCAGAGACTTTCGGGTATCTTCCTCAACCAAAAAAACCTGCCAAACTCACATTGACTCATATGATAATTAGTATATTTTTCTTCATTTTCAGAACCCTCCTTTTCTCATTTGAATGTTTCTAAAAATGACATGAACCTAGAAATCAGTGAGGCCATTTAGTACGCTCTGCTTCCCCCTTGAAAATAGTTATTAGGGCAATGGCACATGCCACAAGGATGCAGAACCTGTAAGTATGTGGTATATGGTGTCTTAGAATTCAGTCAGTTCAAAATTAAAAATCAACAGTGACCAGTCCCAAGCTGTATGCCATAAGGCTTGCTAAACTAGTGACTTAAATAAATGGTGGTGGCCAATGTCTTCCCCAAATGCTGGGCATGATGGAAGAGTAACTAGAAGGTGAATCCTGAATATAAAAAGAACACACAGCCACCAACCTCAGGGACCTCAAATCTGTGTGCATCCCAGATTTTTTTTTTTTTTTGGACCAGGGGATGCCTAACCACTGAGCCATATCCCTGCCCCCGCCCCTTTTTTTTTTTTTTTGAGACAAGGTCTTGCTAAGTTGCTTAGGGCCTCACTAAGTTGCTGAGTCTGGCTTTGAACCTGCGATCTTCCTGCCTCAGCCTCCCAAGACGCTCAGATAACAAGTGTATGCCACCATGCCTGGCCAGGGACTTCAAATTCATGGTTACCTTCCCACACACTGATCAGAACAGGAACAGCACTTACTGTGGAATCATAAGAAGGTAGACAAGGCCAAATAAGGCAGCCAGGATGAGGGCAAGGACGACAGCGCTGGTGAAATACTCGTCCTGAAGCTGGTGGTACTGCAAAGTGGGGAGGGAGAGATACTGATCAACTCGAGCTTCGAGCTTCTGGGCCCACACAGAGCCTTGACCCACCACATCAAGGAAAATTAAAGCCAGAGCGACTTACCTTTTGCTCCCGTTCAACGTGTTTGTACTTCAAGGTGAAGAAATTCAGATCCGCCATCTCCAGCTCCGTCTGGCGGGCTTCCAGGAGGCGGCTTAAATACCTATTGACACGTGTGCCTGGTGTGGTGTAGACCACATTTGTAGAGAAAGACGAGCGGTTTCGAAGTTTTTCTGATGCTGTTCTCAATGCTCTCCGCTGCAGTCATCATGGAAACAAAGAAATGTCATCTAATTCTCCCCTTTTTGAAGAAAAGGGGTTATATTCGACCCCCCCTCCCCCAAGCTTGCATCCTGTCTGCTGCAGGGTGGGCTCCATTTGAGGATAGGAGATGCTATCATGGCTTTGCCCCTGGTGACCTGAGATGACAGGGGAAGTCTCTCAGCACTCAGTGTTGGGGTTCCCACATCTGTGCTGGGGTTACAGGGCAGCTGTGCCACAGCACTGTGGTGAGGGTTGTGGGACTCAACAGGTGTGCAGTGGTGAGACAGTGTCCAGGGAAGAGCAGGCACCTGCACATCAAACCTGAAAGACAGACCTTACCAGGTCTCTTGCTACAGCCAGGGCTGATGGGAATGGAGTGTGAACCCTTCTACAGAGCTCCCACATGTCACAGATGGGGTACAAGAATGCACCTGTTTGCCAAAAGGAAAATGGAGTCTAATTTGAAACCACCTACTGTGATCTCATTATTGGACTTCATAAGCAGGGCCTCTGGTGCTTAACACATTTTAGAAGAATACAAGAATATTAAAAAGATGCTGTCCATGCAGTTCCAGAAAAGAAGAAATAAATACATTATTCCACTTTATTCTAACCAAATGGTCAGAATGCCAACAGTAAAAAGAAAAAGATGAGGTGCTTTAGGAACTTTGCGATTCAAAGAAAAACTGTATGGTAGAGCAGGAGGTCCCCCTAGGGTTTCTTTTTGTCTTATTTATCTCAGACCAGAAACTGGAGAAGCCCATGGCCTAGAAATGCCAACATGTACAGGCAAAATGTATACAGCAAAAGCCCCAAGAAAAGCCTGTTTTCTCTGGCCAAAGGACCAAGAATGAGAAACCTAGAGAAAAAGAAAACTTAGACAACAACGATGCTACTCTTTCCAAGACAACTGAAAAATCTCTTTCCTACCCCCATTCATCCAGCAAAGGCCACATTGGCATCTTGAATTCTATATCTTCTTAGGGCTGTGAGGGAGTGTAGCTGCACCCCCACTAAGACAGTGCCAAAGAAAGCCCAACAGAGCCAAAGTGCTCATATCTAGGAGATGGCAATGACTCTGTAATTATGCTGTGACTGGCAGCCTCAAGGAGAATCAACTTCCATACCTGCACAATAGCAATGTCATGGAAGACGGGTGTGCAACCTGGACTTCCACAAGACAGCACCCCTAACACACCTCATAAGATCAAAGACACACTGGACATCCAGGCACATCACACACCATAGGAACAGTCAGAGGACAAAACCTCTAAGTGGATCATCTTAAAACATATGCAAACGTATTTCCTAAATCCAGCATCCACTTCTCATTTAAAAACTGCTAATACTAATTTATGTGGACTACTTCCCTGAAATAATTAGGCATATTCTACTACTTTTAGCCCAAAATGTCACCATTAGTGGCAAAACCCTATTTGTTTTAACTATTAAAACCCAAAATAAAAAGACTGCCCACCCTCATTAAGGTCACTTAATAATGGAAGGAAGAAGAAGCATAATTCTCATTATTTGTAATACATATTTCTGTAGATCAAGAAAATTAAGTAAAAAGTTACTGCAATCAGTTTCAATGTGTGGACCAAACAAGCTAAAATTTTATTTTCACTATATTAGATAGATATGGTACACATTATGCTTACAAAAATAATCCCTAGACATATTTAAACATAAAGCCCAGAACACAGGGCAGGCAAGAGGCTAAGTAGATCAAAAATAGAAGAAAAGACACAGCAGAGAGCACATTGGTGATATTTTAAACTGTGCTAAGGGCAGAGCTGAAGTGGTCGGGGAAGCCAGAGCTCCTATGTACCATCAGCAGGGTTAGGAGGGCAAATGCTTGGGAGAGCACAATTTGGCAATAGCTCTCCAAAATTAAAATAGACACTCCATTAACCCAGCAATTTCACCACAAAGCAATACCCAAGGCTATCCTTGTACCTCTTGCTAAGATGTTTGTTAAAAAGGATGCTCCCAGCACTCGTGGACATGATGAAATGAAGTCCCTATCTACCAACAAGCGAGGGGTGAAGTCAGGTCAGCACCCAGACTTGGGGGCCATTCAGCCACAGAGAAGGGACTTGAGTTGGGGTGAGACTCCAAGATGCCTAAGGTCCAGCATGAGTGAAAAGACTGTGTGTACGTACAGTAATCTCAGTTCCCACCTGCATTTACCTGCTGGTACATACACATTGATTTCTAGAAAGAACACAAAATGGTCAAGTTTGAAAGATTTAACTTTTGTATCATGTGTACATATTGCTTCTATTTTTATTTTTTTATTTAGGTATGAGGGATTGGACCCAGGGGTGCTTTACCACTGAGCTACATCCCTAGTCCATTTTAGTTTTTATTTTGAGACAGAGACTCATTAAGTTGCCTAGGCTGGCCTTGAATTTATGATCCCTCCTTTCTCAGCCTCCCAAGTCACTGGGATTTCAAGCATGCACCACCATGCCCTGCATATTTGTAGTAGTAGTAGTTGTTGTTTAATTAAAAAACTTAGATATTGAAGTATGACAAGGACAAAAGCAATGCTAAAAGAGAGAGAAGGGGGAGAAGGCAGACAGAAGCAGGTTCCTGGGTATATAAAGTAGGTGAACAAATATTCTTCAAGTATTAGGAAACGAGAATCAAGAAGAGTCCCCAGACTAGCTCTGACTAGCATCAGCATGTCTCCAACCCAATGGGTCCAATAGGTGACAGGGATCACAAACCCTAATGAGTGACACACCCATGCATGCAGACCTTGACTCATAGGATTCATTTTACAGAATGATCCAAGAAAGAAATTTCAGGTACAAAGATGCTGTGCTTGCTGTGCTTCACTTAAAACAAAATAGAAATATATATCAGTGAAGGTTGATAAGTAAACGGTCTCTTCTTAGGCTAGGGCTCTATACAATGATTGAAAATCAAATTTTTGAGGAATATTTGATAATATAAGAAAATCTTTAAGATATATTGGCAAGTGAAGAAGAAACTTACCAAAGAAACTTACCCCAGAACTGGACACACTGAAAAAACATACCAAACTGTTTGTATGTCACCCAATCAAGTTTGGTTAAAAAATTTATACACACACACTCTTAAGAAACAGGAAGGAACAAAATATTAATGATAAATTTTGTGGGGGGTTGTAGGATTATAGATAAATGCTTTTCGTTTTCTTCTTCATGAATTTTTTCATTTCTTCATATTTTCCACAATAATTAGTTTTATAATCTTAGGGAGTGTTCAAACAACAAAGAGAAGAGGTATAAGTACACTGGAGGCTACAGTTTACTGTAGGAGCTTATCCCTGAAGTATGACAACAATAGCTGTTTGAGCAAGCCCTAAAGCATGAGTAAGACCTAAAGCCATGTGGGTGCAGGTAAGAGATCAAACCCCCAGGAGGAGGTCCAGGCCGCTCAGTGAGGGGTGGCCCAGACCTATCAGAGGCATCAGAATATGTGGGAATGGATCAAGATTCAGATGGATCTAAAAATCTTCCTCTAGGTCCCTCTGTGTACTTCCTTATAACATCCAGTTTCAGCAAAGAACCCTGCTAAATCAGCTTAGCAAAATCCGCGCCCCCCCCCAATATCTGATCACCTTCCATAACTAGTCAGTTCCCTCATCCTCCACCTTGCTCCAGGTAATGTATGATCACCTTAGCTTATCATCAGCAGGAGTCTGTTGGCTGGTTTTGCCAGAATCCCTACCCATGATGTTTCCTTTCTCTCAGTAATTTTCTATCCACTGACTCCACCCTACAACTTAGCTATAGATTCCCATTTTCCCTGTTGTATTTGAAGTTCACCCCAATTTCCTCCGCAACTTTGGGACCCCACTGCCTGGTCCTACTGCAAAGATCCTGAATAAAGCAGCCTTTACTGCATCCCAACAAGTGTCATGGAATGATTTCCTCATAATGGCACATCATCCCTGACCCTGGACTGGATCACTGTGCAACACTGCCACCTATTGGTCAATCTTTGCTGTCCCGGCTCCGAGTCCCCTAAAAGAGCAGCACCTGAGAACACTAGACCCACAGGGACGGAACAGTTTGAGGCTGCTCAAGCATACTTGTAAGTCACTCCCCAGAACTGGACACACTGACAAAAGCTAAGCCTAGATTCCAAGGTATAAATCACACTCCCACCCCACCCCAACCCCAGCTCCTTTTTGGCTCCACCTTACATTGAGGATGCCAGGTGAGCATGTCTGGAGGAGCAGGGGAGCAGAGGGTAGGAAGAGGTGAGATGGACAAGTGAAGACAGGCCTGGAATGCCACAGAGAGGGAAAGAGCTGCAGGCCAGTGTCCACCTGTCACTCACAGCAAACTCATCACACGCCCAGGATCAGGCCTTACCTGAAGCCACCACAGACAACCTGCAGAGGCCCCATGCCACTGCCCATCATCACTCTTTGATGAATTCCATGATAGAGACACTTTCTGCCCCCATTGGGGACTTGTTTTCACTAATCATAGGTGGCAGCTAGGGGCCCAGTTTGGGAACAGATGGCAATAAGGATATTGGAAAAGCAAAGGTTTTTCCATGGAAGTTGGATGATTCTTAGCCTCTCCCCAGGGAGGAATAGGTACTGGGGTAAGGGAGTTGCCCTTGCTGCAGAGGCTACCCATGGAGCAAAGGGGCCAGAATCAGGCACCATGGAGGGCAAGGGGTCAGAGATTAGAGCAATAGAACAAGAAGACGGTGTTCTGGCAGCATTTGGCAATACTAACTCAATTGCTGAGCAGGGCATGACAGGGGAGGATCATCTTCAGGCAGAGAGTCATGTACAGATATGGAGTTATGAAGCAGAATGACAGGCAGTTGAATAGAAGGATGAGACAGAAGAGGGAGGCACTGTGGACAAGGTGATGGGGTGGGGGGCAAGCCTCAAGGTCCAGAAGGCTTAGTAAGATGTCCAGGAGTCATCCAAAGTGAAAAGGGCCAGCACCATCATGCAGGCCTCTTGGGGTTGGGGACTGAAGGGCCCAGCCAGGATAGGCCCAGAGTTCAGAGAAGGTGGTATGGCACCATGATGAGAGAGAAGGGGGCACAATCTGGAGGGTTTGAGCCTCCCAGGGGAGTATGTAGGCAGCAGCAGGGTCTGCAGTTCAGAACCCTGAGCTTACAGGTGAGGTCTGAGTCTCTAAGTATCCATCTAGAGGACTGAGGGGACAGAGGGACCAAAGATGAAATTGGACAACACTCAGCGCCTCCAGAGAAGGCAGGAAGGTGCAAAGCAAGGGGTCCATGTCTTTGGCCAGGGAGGTGAGAGGCGTGTTCACATAAAAGCTTGGCTGAAGCAGTCGAGCACAGATGGAAAGGAGGAATGCAAACCAACACTCTAACACTGGAAAGAAGGGTGAGGGGATGCTACATAGGGTTCACTGCCTAGGCCAGGCTAAGACTGCAGGAAGCAGGGATGGTGGCAGAGAAGGGCTGGGGGCAGCAGAAAGCCACTGGAATGTGGTTGCAGATGGCTCAGTGTGGTCTGGGAAGCCCAGGTTTGCCTCCTTACAGGCCTACAGAGCCACTGAAGGGCTGCCGGTGGAGCTGCCTAAAATCTAAGCAGAGACAGATGCTGCTTTCTCCCAGCTCAGGAGAAAGGGCAGCCCCCTCAGTGTCTTGGTTTGTCCAGCAAAACTTTAACATGTGAATCAGAGGCCAGCATGCTCTGCCTGGAAACATGTCTGAATTGCAGAGTCTTATTAAACCTGAGTTCCTCAATGATCAAATAAGAATAACTTATCTCCACCACCACAATTGCTCCAAGAAAAGTCCTAGGCAGGGAGAAGACCTGGATTTCTTTTGGATTAAAGTTGATTTTTCAAAATATTGCATGAAAATATTATTTATCTGGATGACTGAGTTTGGGTAAATGCTTAAATTGTGCACCTGATTTGCCCACCCTTGTTCTAGCCCTGGTGGGAAGATATGTGGGGGCCCCTGAGCACTAGGGGAGAAAGTCAGAGACTAAATGTGACAATATGGCAAAGAAAATTCTCTGGTTACAAACTCCAAAAGTCATTTGGAGGTCAGATATGTTCAGGTAAGTGGGAGTCTAGACAGGGCAAGAATGCCAAGCCACTGTCTGCCCTGAGGCAGTGGCACTGACAGACTCACAGTACATCTGCATATTTCACGGAACACCAGTACAACAAGCTAAGGCCTGAAAGTGGTGGGAATTCCAGGCCCAAGAGGCTCCACCCTCCGTGGACAGCTCCTTGCATGGGAGATGAGAAGACTCATCTGTCTTGGATCCCACTCTGAATGGAGTGGAAACTCTTGAAAACGTGCCTCTGACCTGATCAGGGCCAAAACTCCTACTACCCAGGACATGTGAACATTAGAAGCCAACCATTTAGTTTAAAACAGTCCCTTGCTGCCTGACAGGCATAAAGACCAATTTTCTTTGATGGAATACATCATAAGCAGAGTTCTTAGAGAATTCTTAGATAAAGTTCTAGCAAAGTTGAGCTCACACACACAACTAATGAACCATGACCCTGAGAATCTTGCTTCTTCCTGAAAAGTCTCTAAATTACAGCAAGAGGTTTCTTTAAAAGGCATAAAACCGATAAAGGCAGGAAAGAAATGAAGGTGGAAAAAGTAGCAATGGGAGTTTAGAAAACAAGATGGGGCAGACCCTAGAGGGCTGGACCCCAGCTGACAGTAAAGAGCCAGGACAGCTCGGGCTCAAGCACTGATGGTCACAGCTGCTGTGATCAAATGCCATCCACAAGGTGTTGTCAACAATCCCCGGTTTACTCGATGGTCTGGGGATATGGACCCATCAACCCTCAAATGTATAGTGGGGTCTTTTCTTGGGGGGAAATCAAGGTCTCCAACTCAGAGTGACTGATGCAAGGCCTATGTGGTTGAAGTGAAGTCTGAGACCCCTTGCCTCCCAGCAGAAAATTTAAGAATCACAGGCGACCTTGTCCCATCCAAGAAGAGAAACATAAAATCCTGGTGCCCAAAAGAAAGCTCAGAGAGGAGAACCCTTCTCCTGGATCTGTGCTCCCGGTCAGCTCTGTAATTCCCCATCTTAATCAACAAGAGTAAGGGCTTTGGACATCTATAGAAGATGGGATTATAAAGGAAGACAAACAGGGTTGTGGGGGGGAGCCACTCAGAGGGACAGAATATTTTCTAAAAAAAAATCTCAGTGAGACGAAATGCGAAAAAAATACATCCCTGAAGTGGCAATAGGATTTCATAAAAAGGACTATTTATAAAACAAAATAGAGATCATAGAAGTTTTTTTTTTTTTTTTTAAAAAAATGTGGTTGAATAAATGAAAACCTCAAAAGAAGTGTTGGGCTGGGTAAGGTGGCACACTCTTGCAATACCAGAGACTTGGGAGACTGAGTCAGAAGGATCGTGGGTTCAAAATCAGCCTTAGCAACTTAGCGAGGTCCTAAGCAACTTAGCAAGGCCCTAAGCAATTTGGTGAGACCCTGGCTCAAAATAAAAAATAAAAAGAGTTAGGATGTGGTTCTGTGGTCCCTGGATTCAATCCCTGGTAACAATTAAAAAAAAAAGAAAGAAAAGTGTCAGATGATAAAATCAAAGAAATTTTCCAGAAAGTGAAGACAGAGAAGGAGAATTAGGTCAGTTCAGGAGATTCAATGCCCAAATAATAGGAGTTTTGGGAATAAAAATGAAGGAAAGAAATAATCAACAAAATAATCCCTGAATACTTACAGAGGTAGACGTCTTGGTCCATGGGCTATATCTATCCCAAAGCATAAAAAATTCAAAAATTTTAAAAAAACCCACCTAGATCAAGGCATTAGGGCAAGTTCAGAATACCAGGTACAAAGAACAGGTTCCATAAACTTCCTGAGAGCAAGAATACTCATAAGGGTCATATCAAAAGGTTGGGAAAGAGGATAACTCTGAGCTTCTCAGCAGCAACCGCAAAAGCCAGAACATATTGAACAAACTGTCAGAGGAAGAAAGATCATGGCGAACTGTCATGGACCAAATGTATGCATCACTCCAAATCTACTTATTATAATTCTGCCCTCCAACATGATGGTAGTAGGAGGTGGGGACTTATAGATGAGATTCTGATGGGTGTAGCACCTTTAAAAGGAGAGGAAGAGACACCAGAGCCCCCTTCTCTCTGCCAGCAAGAAGACGCCATCTGCAAAGCCAAGGAGAGATGACTAGGAGAGACCAGCTCTGCTGACACCTTGATCTTGGATTTCCAGCCTCCAGCACTGTGAGAAAATGAATGTCTGTGGTTTAAGGCCTCTCCCAGGCTGTGGAGCCTGAGCAAACTAATACATCAACCTAGTAACTGGGGCCCAGCACACCAGCAGGCTGCAAAGCTCTCCATGTGAGGGGCTGGAAAGACCCTTTTATTCATGCAAGGTGCCCCAACATTGCCTCCTTTCCCTTCCATGGTCAGTTGCTGGAGTCCGTGATCCATCAAAAGAAGGAAATGAACCATGGGGAGGAGCCCATATGATATGAGAGACACAAGGTCAACAACAGGAGGAAGACAAGGCCAAAGAAGCCCCTGAAGTGGTAGGGGCCAGCCTCAGGGAATGGTCAGATCAAGGCTAAAATGGCTAGGACATTAGGACAGAAGGACTATCGTGACATTAGACCAAGCGTGGGGAATGTTAGTTTGAACTTAGTTAAATACAGATTGCAAAGGTGTGAAAAAGTACAAATTGTGCATAAATTAAACTTGACTTAGCTCTGGGCAGCATTCACAAGATCATAAATGTGTATTATAGTTTGGATCTCTAATGTCCCTTGAAAAGCTCGTGTGTTAGGCAATGTTCAGGACTATTCAGAGGTAAATGATTAGATTATGAGAGCTGTAACCTAGTCAGTGGATTAATTCATTTGATAGATTAATAATATGAATGGACTACTGGATGGAAACTGTAGGCAGGTGAGACATGGCTGAAGGAAGTAGGTCACTGAGGGCATGACCTTGAACTCTATCTGTCCAAGGCCCCTTCCTCTCTCATTCTCTACTTCTTGGCTGCCATAAGCTGAGAAACTTTCCTCCACTGTGCCCTTTTACTATGATGTTCTGCTTTGTCTTAGGCCCATCACAATGGAGTCTACCAACCATGGACTGAACCTCTGAAATTGTGAGCTCAAAATAAACTTTTCATCCTCTAAGTTATTCCTGTCAGTTATTTTAGCCACTGCAATGAAAGGCTGACTAAACAATGTGTAAACAGCAATGTTGGACCTAACCCTGCTGCACAGGGACTATACTGCAAAGGAAGGGAGAGAAGAAGATGGAATGGAGACTCAGTTCCCATTGGTTCCTGCCAGCAGTGCCCCTGGTGGCTCCTACCTTGTCATCGTCTTCACAGGTCATGACATTGGAGAAGGGGATCTCAGCCTTGAACATCTTCCGGCAGTGCATGAGCTGCACCAGCAGGTAGCAGACAGTCTTAAACTTCATCCTCTTGGCCGGCTTTATATCTGAGAGAATCAGGCCTGGAAATATCTATTCAAACACAATGAGTGGAGAGAAATGCTATCACTGAAATACATTTTGCCTCTCAGGTTAAAAACATGACCCTGGTGGTGACAGGGACTCCAGGGCACAGGGATCTGTTTGCTCAATGCTGACTCTGCATTACTGGTAGCAGCAACTCCGGGGTTTAGGCAGAGAGGGGTTTAGCTCACTTGGCATGCCCTTTCTGAAGTCAAACCTCATTCCTGGCTAACACCCACTGGGATGAGACTGTGATTCCAGTCACTGCTAGGGGTGTTCCAGTCTGAGGAGGGCCCAGACCTGTCCAATCCACCTCCTTTAGACCCTTAAGTGGGAGATAGCCAAGATTAAAGGAAGCCACCTAGCTTTGCACTGGTGTTCACAAAAAAGGATCATCCCCAGGAGATCCAGCCATGCAAACTGTGTGGAAGCTATATTCCCAGAATGGTTGTTATGATTTAGATTTTGAATGTCCCCCCAAAAGCTCATGTGTTGAAAGCATGATCCCCAATGCAGCAAGGTTCAGAGGTGGGGCTTTCAGGCAGTGGTTGGATCCTCAATTGGAACCTCATCAGTGGCTTAATCCATTTAATGAATTATTAATTTGAATGGCCTGGCACATTTAATGAATTATTAATTTGAATGGCCTGGCACAGTGGCACACACCTGTAATTCCAGTGCTAAGGCAGGAGGATCACAAGTTCAAAGCCAGCCTCAACAACTTAGCAAGGCCCTAAGCAACTCAGTGAGACCCTGTCTCTAACTTAAAAATACAAAAAAGGGCTGTGGCTCCCTGGTTAAGTACACCTAGGTTCAATCCCCCCACCAACCAAAAATAAAACTAATAATAATTTGAATGGATTCCTGGGCACTGCTATCAGAAGGTGGGTGTGGTGAGAGAAGGTAGGCCACTGGAGCCTAATCCTAGGGACTATATCTTGTCCCTGGTTCTTCTCTCTCTGTGTGTCTCTCTCTGCTTCCTAGATACCATAATTACATTGAAAAGCTTTCCCCTCCACACCCTTATGTCAGGAGGTTTCCACAATGGACTCAGTTGATCTTGAACAGAAACTTCTGAAACCATGAGCTGAAATAAATTTTTCTTCCCATTAATTGTTCTTTTCAGGTATTCTGATCACAGGGATGAAAAGGTGACAAACACAGTGGTGATAAGGGTGATATTCAGTAGAGAACACGGGCATACTTTATTTTTTTTAATTGTTTCTTTAAAACACACACACAGACATGTCCTTAGTCCCTCACCTGAGCCCTGAAAGCAGTTCTATCACCCTCAAGCATGACCAGATCACTTTTTTCTGGGTGGAGTGACTGCAAGTGCCTGGTTAGGATGACCATGGCCCCCTTGTATGCAGCACCCCTCAGTTTACAGAGCTCCACCTCCCCGGCCTCTTGCAGGGGTCTCATATTCACTTTGCAGAGGAGGCAGTGAGGGTCCAGGGTGGGAAGAGAGGGCGCAGCCCTAAGATAACCCCAGATGTCCAACTGGGGATTCTCATCCCCTCTGCTCTCTGACTTGCTCCCCCTGCCCCCCAACAAAGCCCTGGACCCAATGTTAGTGGAGGCACCCCTCTCTCTCTCAGCAAGTCCATAACCACAGAAGCCATCACAAGAGGAGGAGGTGAGGACAAGTGTGTCTTTAAAGTTCTGTCAGACCAGGCCATTTAAGGCCCAAATGGAGGGGGGAAGGGGGTCCAGGTACCTACCTTTCTCCGATGGGATGGCACAATAAAGAAGGTCTCAATGTTATGAGTTTTCAGGAAGCTGTTCCTCTCATGTCCATGGCCTGGCTCCACCTCGTAATCTCCATTCAAGCATGCAAGGGTTGTCTTTGTGATATGAACCTTCCTATGAGAAAAGGACACATGCACATGGAATTGTGAGCCTTGCCCTCATGTGGGCCCATGGATCAGGCTTCTTGGCCCAGGGTAAGCTCCCCGAGGAGCATTCCTGCTCCCTGTGCATGTTCTGCACTGGTAACCTAGGAAGAAAGGAGAGGGAGGCAAGCAAAGAAGGAAGGGACATGCCCAGGAGGACAGAGAAGGACAGCGGAGGAGGATGAAGGGCCTTCTGAGAAAAACATCAGAAGGCTGCAACCAGGAATGGAGAAGAGGAAATGTGGGGTGAGAGGAGGAAGAGAAAGGAAGAGGAGAAACAGGATCCACTTCCCAAACTATTAGGTTAGCCACGTAGGTCAGGGCTGGCCAGCCCAGCCCCACACGATGTGAGTGGACAGAATAGCAGGACACGTGGTGGTGCATGGGGCCCAAGGCCTTCATACTGCCTCACATGTCTTCAAGCAAGAGCAGATGAATCCCTCAAAGGAAGCATCACCTCTGCAGAAGATGCAAATCCAACAGACAGATGAAATACTGGCAGCCTCCTCTCCTCCACCATGTGCTCAGGGGACAAGAAGAAAACTCCCTGACCAACTCCACTCTTCACCATGCAATCTTCTGACTTCCTTTCAGAGGAAAGTCTTGATTTCAAAACTGAACTCCCTAGCTGGCTGAGGAGGAAATCAAGGAGGCCCCACTAAGGTGGGGATCAGGCTGAGGGTGGAGGTCCCAAATTTGCCAGAACTCCAAGGCCTGGGTGGTCACCAGTAGCCTTTTCCAGCAGTGGCTGCTTTATGAGCCTCAAAGGATGGGATGGGTAGGAGAGGGAGGAATGGAGAGGAAACTGCCAGTCTCTGGTGGGTGTCTGAGGTCACAGCACTTTTCATGCACATGTTTTAAGAGCAAAACAAAGAAGCAATAATAAGCTATAAGGACACCACTTGCATCAGGTGAAGGTCTCCATGCATATCTGGTCTTCTGATCTAATACCGCCTTTCTGCAAATGTATACTGGGCCTCACTGAATCCCAGGGAGAACAGAAGTGGGCTCAGCAGGAGCCCCCACCACAGGAATGCAGTGGCAGGTGTGGCCAGGACAAGCCAAGCTCCTGAGGTCCTGATGCTAAAGGTCAAATTAGAACCCACACAGATACCCTCAGGAGCAATGCCCAGAGAGAGGACTCAGGGAGAACACATGGCCACTGTGGGGTCACCCCTTACCAAGTCCCCAACTTACCCAGGCAGGCCGGCAGCCTCCATGACGTTGGCCAGGGTCACATCATTGGACCACACATCGTACTGCCACTTGCGCAGGCCCAGAACACCACAGAGGACCCTGCCGGTGTGTAGCCCCACACGCATGTTCAGGTCCACCTCAGTGGCCTCAGCCACAGACCTGTAACACAGCATAGAGCATGGGGCTGGGACCACCCAGCACCTGCCTCAATAGACCACCACAGTCTGCTCTGTGAGGTTGTGAGCAATGGGGAAACTAGACTTCGACATTGCTCTACCATCTGGGAAGGGTCAGGATGTGGAGGTCTCCTGTCCTGATCAGTGGATGGCAGTGCTTCTTTGCCTTGCCTTTGAGTCCTAAGTGGGCAGGCAAGGCCATCTCGGCCATCTCACAATGTCCACACAAGCTTGGTACGTTCCCTCCATGGCTTTCTCCTACCCCTTCCCATCTAGGAACATCCCCAGAGGGAAATGAACCTAGGATCTCAAATCCCTCACATGTCTTGTCACCAGGCAAGGGGCTCTGGGGACATAAATGAAGGCAAAGAAGGTGCTGAGGGTACTGAGGATCTGGGTAATGTTAGGCCAGTCTGGCCAATTTTGCACACACCATTGCCCGTCCCTGAGCAATAAAAGCCCAGCTCTGACTACATTGGTTCTAACAATGTCCGAAGTCATCTAAACTCACCCCAGTGTACCCCAGTACATGAGGGTGCAGCCAACCTGCTAACTCATTCTATTCCACTAAGTGTGAAAATATATATTTTTAAAAAGTCTCCAGGAAGCATAGCCCACCCCCTTGCCACTGTCAGTGAGGCAGCTCTCACTTTGCCCTCAACCCCGATCCATGCTGTGCCCTGTAGTCCCACTCCAGAGGCCTCTGTACATTGCATTTATCAATGATGACATGAAATGAATAGGCTGACCCCACACCACCTGCGATATGTCTGGCTCACCTTCACTCTGACTTCCCTTATTTCCATGCCTGAAGCTTCAGCCAGAGTGGAGGGAGCAACTGCCCAGCATGTCTCCAAGGCCTCTTGACCTCCACTCAACCCTGCTGGGCTCATCTTACAAACAGCTCTGCCATCATCATGCATTTGCCTGCAAAAGGGCCTGTCTCCGATAACCGCGGCACACAGTGGATCCAATAGCCACTCCAAGACAGCTGCCTGCCTACCTCCACATTGGAAGATGCAAGAGAGTAGAATCGGACATGTTTAAGTCAGGGTCCCAGAAATCCTAGTGCAAGTTCAGCTTCAGTAGCCTCAGAAGTGTTCATTCCACAGATTTACGAAGAAGTGTTTTGAAAGACTCTTAAAACATCTTTAATACCTGTTTGGTTTTATAAATTTTGAATGTGGTTTTTAAAAAAATGTTACCTTTTTTTTTTTTCAGTTGTCTGCCAATCACCAATAAGAGACACTGAAACAAGATCTTGAAGTTAAAACATTTCAAAATTCAGAACAGGAAACGCTTGTGGGAAAACGTAGATGCTGAAACCTGCCAATGGTGTTTCAGAGCACTTTGAGCAATTATACTTGTGTAGTTATGAAAGAGCAAATGACACAGAGACTGCTGGGACTCACATCCATCCCTGTCCCTGGACCTCTTCAAGCACTGCCAACCAGGTCTATGCAGCCCCACACATCTGCTACCCTGCGCCCTCTGCCAATACTCTCTGTCTTTGGCAGATTCTGCCTCCAGTATCTCAATGCTGACACCATCTGGTCTTCAGGAAACTGGACAGCTGCCTCTAAAGAAATCACACATCCAGAGCTGTTCTCACTGCTGCTCCTCTTGGCCCCACAGTTCCTGGAACATCTCAGTTAGATTTGGCTATTTATCCAATAGAACTCTCATGTCATTTCCAAGGAACCAGAATTCCCCAGTCCTTCTGACTTTATTTGTCCTGTTTTTCTTTCTTATTTATATGCTCGGGTTTGCTTATTTATCTCAAGTTATTTTCTATGCAAGGAAAAAGCCAGACTCTTGCTCAGTCTGTAGCCCTGACCTTAGCCCTCGAGTGCTTGATTCCAACAGGGAAGAAACAAGGAAGCGGCCTGTCCCAAGACACGGCGGACCCCCGTCAGCACCATGGCATAAATAAATCCTGGGAGAAAGTAAATGTAATCATGATTATACTGAAGCTTGAAAATGAAGGGGCAGATGAGGGTGCTTCTGTTCATTTGTTCAACAAACATCTATTGAGCTGACTCCCTTCACCCATTATTCAAAGCATTGTGGCTACAGCTGTGCACACAAGGAAAAAATAAAAAGGAGGTAATGGACACCATAGAGGCCAATTTACTATCATCTAGATGGAAGTTTCCAAGCATAGAGGAAGAATGGGCAAATGGTTGTCAAGTCCCTTGTTCAAAGGAATGGCCTCAACTCGGGCTCCTCGCTTCCCCCTCCTGGGCCTCAGCTACCCCAGCTGTAAAAATGCAAGTTCTCAACCTAAACTGTACAGGTTCAGAATCTCCAGATCCCCTAAGGTTTTGATGAAAACCCTATGCAAATAAAGACATGAGTGTATCCAAACTATCCTCTACCCCACAGAAAATCCATCCCTAGATGTATTCATGGCTCTGGCTCTGAAAACTAGAATCCAGTAACAACATGAAATAATAATCCCTAAAGTTACTTTCTGATGAGAAACTGAGAAAAGCTCCCTAGCTCACACACAGAACCCAGCTTGTTAAAAAGGAAGGGGCTGTAGGAGAGAGCCCAGGTGTCTGGAAACAGGCCATAGGTGTCCCTTCTAACAGGACCTCAGGGCTCCACCCAGGGGGGCCATCAGGATCTGCTGGTGTATGGCATGTGCAAGCTGTCCTCACCTGTTCATGTGGGCCAGAGGAGGAAAAGCACATGCCTTTTCCTACTAACTTAATTCAGAACAGAAAAGAGAAAACAAAAAACACATAAGCCATGAGCAAGGCCATATCTGGATTAAGTCTATTTTTTTTAAAAAAATGTCACTTAGCATGCTTTGGGATTGCATGGAAGAATAATGAGGTTCCTGTTTCCCTATCACCTATGCCAACAGAAGTTTCCCCAGAGATGAACAGGCATGTGCCCATTTCTACAGGTATACAGGACCATGTGCCACAAAGGAAATCCCACAGAAGAGGGGCTCCCTCTCTGATGGGCCAGCTCCCTTTGTCTGGCAGGTGATAAACCAATCCCTACAGTGGCAACTGGAAGCTCACCTATGAGAGCCCACGTCATTTCATAACAACTTGGAGATGCAAACATGACTCATTCATTTTACACTGAGGAAAATGAGGTGTTGCCTCAGGATGGGAGTCAGGAATCCATAGGCTCATCTGCTTCCATGAGAATCAGAAGTCTCTGGCCCACTCAAGAAAAGTGGAGCTTTGGGTTGCCTATCAGAGGGGAGGGGCCTCCCATTCCCTGGAAGGTCAGAGGCTGACAAAGGTCCCAGGTGCTGCTGTGGCCAGAGTATCATGGGCATCCTGGAGAAACCCATCAAAACAGGAAGCCAAGGACTACCCCTGGAGTCAAAATGCAGGACCCCATCCCATGGCCCAGGCATAGCAGCTGCCAGGATGGTCCTGATACCCTCATCTCTGCTGCCACTGCACCCTTATCTCAGAGCCAGGATGTCATGGATTTTTATGGATTGGAAAATTGAGGCCCCAAGACAGAAGTGATGTGCCCAGGGTTATACAGTACCTCAGAGGCAAGACCAGCCAAGGAATTAAATTCTCTGAACACCTCATTCTTTTTTCCTCCTATTGATGGAATCCACCTGACCCAACAGGGAACACATATCACTCAAAATAATGAATGAAAATCACACCAATAAAAATTAACACTTTTTTAAAGAGCATAATGCACACCCAAATGAGGCCTACAATATTTTAGGGTAAATCTTTCCAGGTGATAGAGGCTGGAGCAGGGAAATCTGAGGACAGGAAATCCTCAGACCCAGCTGCAGCCCAGGAGATTCCAGGGCAACACTTGCCTGGCAGACCCTCTGGTCCATTGCTCTTGTTTCCAGATGCCACAGCTCTCAGCAAGGTCAGGCTGTCTAAGCCACAAGTGGCTGAGGAGGAAAAGAACTAGCCTCTAATTGAAAGCGAGCATTCCTTATCTATGGTTTTACAGGGAAATGCCAGCTACTGTGTTGGGTCTGAAGTATTCCCCAGGGGCTTGGTTCCATCCTGTAGTGCTATTGGGAGGTGGTGGAACCTTTAAGTGGTAGGTTCTTATGGAGGGAAGTTGGGTCTTTGGGGACATGTTGTTGAAAAGGAGATTGGGATCCCAGCTCCTTCCTCTCCACTTCCTGGCCGCTATGAGGTGAGCAGATTTGTTCCACCATATGCTCCCCTCTATGACATTCTGCCTCACCACAGGCCCAGAGTGATGGGCCTAACCAACCATGAGCTAAAACCTTGGAAACCGTGAACCAAAATCAACCTCTTCTCCTATAAGTTGATTTTCTAAGGTAGTTTTGCCACAGCAATAGAAAGCTGACTAATACACCCACCCTGCACTTTGGTGGGCCTCACTGCCCCACTTTGGGGTTCACTCTGGGGCTGTCTATGCTATCAGGCCTTGGACATACAAGGTCCTTGACTTTCCAAAAGATCAGTCTGCATTGAACAATAACAAGATGGCAGTTGTGGGTGGCCTGGGTATCAAAGATCAAAAAGGAAAACATGGTAAATGTTTCTATCTGCTTTTCCCATAGGAATGAACAATCTTCAAGGTAACAATAATAAGATCATTCCTCACTTGTCTGACAAGGAAACAAAATTGACTCTGCCAGCGTGGTAAGAAGCTAAGACCCAGCATGGCTGCCTGCCTGCCCACACCTGCACCTGAAGCAGCATCTGTCCTGGATTTTATAATTACTTTATTTCTTTTCCTCTGACCTTGCCCTGCCCCTTTGGAAATCCACCCTAAAGGCACTTGCATCACAATGAGACTGTTGTGTTCTCAGAAGTACAGGATCCTGGTACAGGTACTGCTAGAGAAGTCCGTGGCAGAGAGAAAGCTAACAGGGCAGCCTAGACCCCTCAAGGTGGAGAGGAGTGACCTCCCTGCTACCATGCACCGGAGCACCTTCTGGACCAAAGAGTCTGCTTGAAATGCTTCAAGAAGCTTCCAATAGCCAAACCATCCCTTGTTCCTCAAGATTTACTCTGTCTGCTCAGAATTCCCCAAATCTAGAACAGATGTGACTGTGGTGCCTGATGAAGGACATCTCTGCCCTGCAGGACCAGCTCCTTCCTGGACATCCAGCCATGGTGCCCGCCACCCAAAGGCTTTTAAGAAGAGATGAGTCCACAACCAGAGGAATCCAGCTCCTTAAGGCCTGGCCCGTTCCTCTAGCTTGATATAGAAGGAAGCTCCTCTAGCTCGATATAGCACAGACCTTCTTCTCACAAAGGAGACAGTCAGCAAGACCCTGCCACGAATGTGAGCTTTGGTCACTTGGCTTATTCGTGTGAGTTCTTCTCAAGGAGTTCTTGAATCTCCAAAGTTCCGAATAAAGCACTCCAAGGTCAGAGAAAAACAATCACACAAACATTCCCCTCTATCTGGACATGCCTATCCTTTTGAAAAACATATTCTGTTCTGTGTGTGTGTGTGTTTCTGTGTACGAGACAGGGACACACGCAGCCCAGAGGGACCAACAGGAGAGAGCACCAGATGCTAGGAGTCTCGTTCCCTGGAGGTAGGCCCTCAGTGCCATGCTGAGAATACACTGATGGTCCCTGGCTCTGTGACAGTCTAGAGGGGAGAACAGACTTGTTTGGGCAGGAGGCCATCTTCTGAGCTCAGTATCTTGGTGGGTGGCCAAAAATTCAGCCCAGACAGGGGCTCCAGGTTTGCAGCTATCCCTCAGGCCCTGTGAATTCAGGAAACTGAAGCAGAGAGCAGCCTTGGAGGAAGACACCAGCCCAGGGTACACCATTCTCAAGTGGCAAGACCAGAGACATGGTGCCAGAAAGCCAGCAGCTGAAATGCTGAGGGAGCACCAAAGGGGACACAGCTTCAAGGAGCAAAGGGGCAAGGAAGCATTTCAAGACATGTGAGGCTGCAGCTCAGTGCTGGACATAAAACCCAGCAGGTTTCCTGGGCAGCAGCCAGGAAGGGGCACTCCTGCAGAAACTCTTCAGAACCATAAACATGCAAGTCAAGTAGGAAAACAGGAAAGGAAGGGCAGCACCACCTAAGGCCAGAGGCCCTTGGGAGAGATAGGATGAGGCTCCAATGCACAGAGGAGACCCAAGAGGCTGAAGAGTTCAGTCAAGGCTACCAACTGCAGAGGCATAAGGTGCAACCTCATCAGCCTCCTGGTCAGCACAGGTCAGCTGTAGCACCCAGCTAACTACCTGTATCTGCATGCCTAACACAGGGGCATCATAAATATTTACCAAATGAACAAGATGACCTCTGTCTCCTTACAGCTCCCACCTATAGCTTCCTCATTTTACTCCAAGAAGATCACTTAAAACAAGATCTGACACATCAATAATATACGACATATAATGTGATATAATGCAATATACAACACAAGGCTATGTGCACTGTAGCAATGCTTATGGCTCACAGAAAACTCTGCACCACAGCCCCATGTTGTACTTAACCACACCTCTAGATCGTCCCTGACATACAGCCCCTGTTAATCACCTAAAGCTGAAACTAGCAGCACAGGGTGGATTTACACCTGTGCCAACTTAACGGATCAAGATCCACCAGCTTTCACCAATCACTTCTTAACCTAAACCCCTCTTTTCCTTCCCTGTGCCTAAAGGAACAGATGAAAGGAACTTAAAGCCCATGTTAAGATGATTTGCCAGAATACTAGTCTACCATCAGTTTTCCTGCTTTGTCAAATAAATCTTTTTCTTTGCCCCTCCAAATCCATTCTCCATTCATTGGGCCCTTTTATGAGCAGTGAGTAAATAGACTTGTATGTTACATGATGTAATATATAATGCTGTAATGTGATATATTTGATATATGTGATACACAGTGTGATATGATGTGATACATGACATGATACAATATGATACGTGATATGTATGTTAGATGGTATATGATGTGGTATGTGTGAAGTGATATAATACAGCATAGGATATATGATATTGTTATGGTTTAGATGTGAGTTATCCCCAAAAAGCTCATATGTGAGACAATGCAAGAAAGTTTAGAAGTGAAATGATCAGGTTATGAGGGCCTTAACCTAATCAATGTATCAGTGTTAATTCACTTGAATGGATTACCTGGGTGTAACTGTATGTAGGCTGGAGGAGGTGGGTCATTGGGGAATGTGCCTTTGGGATATATATTTTGTCCTTGGTGAAAGGATAAGTCTCTCTCTCCTTCCTAGTGTCCTGTGCTGAGCTCCTCTCCTCTGCCACACCTTTCTACCATGGTGTTCTGCCTCGCCTTGTGCCCAGAGCAATGGAGGCAGCCATCTGTGGACTGAGCCATCTGTGGACTGAGACAGACTTTGGTAAGCAAAGTCTAACCAAGGCCAGTAACCAAGGCTCCCAGGTACTATCCCTCCTCAAGGACTAACCTTCCCAGACCCCAGCCCACTCTCCACACAGAGCACTGAGGCAGTCACTTGCCTAGAGGAAGAACCAGCACACAGTGATGGCTGTATTTGGCCACCCTTTCTGAATGGCTTATCCAGTCTAATTATAAAGGCCATTTCTTTTTGCATGTCTCCAATATACCTGACAATACACAGGATCCTCTGAACAAAGAAATACATCACAGCAAAATGTAGGAGGTGGTCACTGAAGCCTCACTTCTTGGTTCAGGAGAGAACTCCTGGACCCAGCAACCTCCCACTGCCTCATCAGCCTCTGCAGCCCTGAAAAGACCCTTGGGGCAACATGGCACTCACGTGATGGTGTCAATCATGTCGAGCCCCATCTCCACGCAGCAATGGGCATGGTCAGTCTTGGGCTGGGTTAGGCCTGAAACACAGTAGTAGCAGTCCCCAAGAATCTTGATGCGACGACAGTGGTTCTCCTTCAGGGAAGGCAAAGCACATGGTCAGTGACAGCACTGAGAAACACTGATTTCCACATCACCTTTAGATGCTAGCGACTACCAAGCATGTGGACAACTTACCAGTGTGGTCACCACAATGGACAGAAACACACTGATGTTTCCCTTGCTGCCCCTGATACCCTTACCCAGAGCCTCTTTCCACTTGGGGTATTCACCTCTCCCACCTCCATTTGATAAGCAAATCCTCCAAGGTCCAGGTGTAAGGCCACCTCTATGGGGAGTCTGCCACAACACACAATTGGGACAGTCCTTGCCCAGGAAGGACAGGACATACCCATCCAGGTTTTCCTGCAACTCTCAATAACCCCACACTAGAGCACACTTCTAGAAGGCACTTGCTGTCACTGAATACCCACTCCCTCATTATATGAAGAAGAAGAAAACAGGCTGAGTATCCCCTGTCCAACCAAAAGTGTTTCACATTTTGAATTTTTCAGATTTTGGAATACTTTCAAAGACTTTAAAACTGGCTGAGCATCCCTAATCTGAAATCCTGAAACCCATAATGCCTCAAAATCCAAAAGTTTTTGAGTATCAAAATGATGCTCAAAGTTTCAGATTTTGGATTTCAGATTACACATACTCAACCCAAAACGGAACCTCTGTGGGAGATCTGCTCCAACCCATGGCATTTGCACAGCGCTCCCCTGACCAACAATACAAAGGGCCATGGGCAGCCCTCCTGGAATGTACAAGATCTCTTAGGAAGGACCGGGTGGGGGGGGGTGATAATGGAAATCAAGAAAGTCAGTCAATTACCACTCTATTACCACTCTATCTGGCCAGTGCTACTCGATAGGTGTCAGTTAGGACTATCATGACTGCTATTTTTGTTTTAAGCATTAAACTGCAGTTCTAAATATCCTCCACTTCAGGACTCCTTTATATCTTGAAATAACTGATGTTCCAACAAAAAATTTTGATGTGGGTTATAACTGTTGACATTTACCAATTAGAAGCCACAAGTGAGACCTTTTAAAACACATATGAATTCATTTAAAGGCAACAGTTAGCTCATTTTCATGTTAATATAAATAACATTTTTATGAAAAACTACAACATTTCACCTACATAAAATGCAATAAATGAGAAATATGGCTTAGCTGTCCACTTCTGCATGTCTCTGACGCTCATTTTCAAAGCAGACAGCTGGACACATCCTTCATGCTGTGTTGTTGCCATAGATATGCACTGAAGGAAACGAACCCACACAGGTACACTGCTGGGAAAGAAAGGACCTTCCAGACCCTAAGATGGTCTCATAGAGCCACAGAGCTCCTCAAACTGTACTTGGAGAGCACATTCACAGTTTATATCTAATTTTACCCTTTAGTTTCTTATTAATGAGCTGTCTGCTGTAGATTTTCACAAATGCTGTGAATTGACAAGTGCCCAGGCTGAGCAGGGAGTTAGCATAACAGCTGGATGTTGAGGGGACTCTACCCCCAGGCCTTTCCATGGTCAGATCTTCCCAGAGATGGGCAAACCACGTCCCTCACTGCTGTCCTGAGCTGCCTGCCCCAGGCTTGGTGCTGCAGGGACCTTGAGAAATGATTCCAGCCCCCTGTGAGCATCTGAGAAGGGGATGCCACCAGCTGTGCAGATGGCTCCATGCCCACTCCTTCCACGCAACAGCATCACAGAAAAGAAACATCTCTGTGGGGCTGGCAAAGGTGTAATCTTTGATTACAATCCCTACAGGAATCATATGCACAAGGAGATGCAAACAGCACACTGTGATGAAGAACAAAGACACCCACAGGAATGTGAAGTGTGGCCATTACTGCACATCACAGCCGAGGTGTGCATGGGGAGAATCCATCTCTCAACAGAGACCAAGGACAAAGCCATCTAATATTGAATATCCATGTGTACACATCTACATATCAAGGGCTTAAGGCTGACCAGGGCCAGGTGTATTCTGGAGAAATTGTGCAAAACGCCTGTCTTAGAACAGCAATACATATCTAGAACCTGGTCAACATGCACAACATGTGAGTGCGTGATCCTAGCTCATCCAGCATTACAGGCAAGTCTTTGGATTGTCCTGTGCTGTGAAGCCCAGGCCCCTCCTGGCCCCTCCCAGCTTCCTTTCCCCACCAGCCTCTATGACACCTGCCCTGGTAGATACCCCTAGAATGAGTACTGGGTACATTATTTTGGTTTATTTTTAATCTCAAATGTCCTGGGTTTTGTGAGCAGGCTTAAGAGGTCAAAAGGATGGTTTTAAATGCTTTTGATTTTTAGAATCTTCTCTGCAAATATGGAAAGCCACTGCCGGGAGTCACTCACTACAGGAAGCACAGAGGAAAACACTTATGATACTCATATGGTTCTGTGTCCTACCAAGAAGACAGAAGAAGAGGAGCAGGGTGAAAAGGGGGGCCCTGAGGGGTATGCAGCCTGAGGGACCAAAGCTGCCCCTCCTTCCCAGGCACAGAGAGACAGGACTGAGAGAGAGAGTGCAGGTAGGACAATCTCCGGCTTTGCTTCCCAGGTGTGGCCTGAAGAGGTATGGTCTGCTTACAAAGTCTAGACTAGCCATGACCCTGCATGAGTGGGAAGTCACAGGGAAGGATCCAAGACAGCAGGGCCACCACACAGGCAGCATATTCTAACCCTGCCCAGCCCCAGAAGGTCACAGAGCACTGATGGCTAGGGACCACAAGAGGACTTTAATTCCATACATAAATGATGAAGTTAAAGACCACCATCTTGTAGGTCTAGGAGGAAGCAGAGTCATAGGCAGGATAATTGCTACTGATTCTAGAGCCCCATGATGTCTGATCCCTGCTGGGCCAGCCCTAAAACAGTAGAGTCCAGAGAGGCCAGAGGACAACATAAGGACCCCACACTATACCTTGATTTTGAGTGGGTAGGTAAATCCCAGGACCTGGGCTCCCCTAATTAAGGAGGTGACACATGCATGCCTGAATTAATCTAGTTTTTGCCCTGAAGTGACTGCATTCAAAACCCACACTGACCAAGTCCTATGAACTTTGTACAATTGAGTGTTTGACTGTGAGTGGAAAAACAGAACAGGAAAAGTTAGAAAACTGTATTTCTATGTAGCAATATGTGACAACTGTACATGTGTAGCAACTGGATACTTTTAACCTGCTGGGCCGACAGGATTAAAAAGAAATGAACTGCAATATACTCAGTGGCAATCACCAGAAGTTAAGAAGAATCGTTATTTCTACTGCAGTGTTCACAATTCATTCTGCCACAATTGCTTTTATTCAACCCCATGATGAGCCAGCCATTCACTAGACTAAAGCATGGAATACATAAGAGTCAATGAAAGGAGAGAAGGTCTTTGTTTTCTCGGAGCTTCCCACTACAGGGACTGGAATATACAGGGCAGAGGAATTGAAACCTAAGAATTCTGCAGACATCTGTCCATCAACAGGTACCAGGCAAACACAGTCCCCGTGAGGTTTCCCCAGACTCAGGAAGGAGGAGTTAGCCTGCCTTGTCATCAGGAAGACTCTCAAGAGAAAATTAAATTAAAAACAGTGATGCTTAAAAAAATCCAAACCAAAATGAAATAAACCTGTTACTATAACATAGACTTAGAGGCCACTTTTGCTAAAAGCACTGACTCTTCACTTGGTCCTCCGATAAAAGGTTATCATCTCTGCCTTCATTGTGTATCTGTCTCTTTCCACCTTAAACGTTGCATCAGATTTCTGCTCAACTTTGCACGTAGACTTGTTAATCATTTAAGGAGTGTCTGTCTAAAAACTGGTAACACAAGGTTGATTAGCCCTAAATTTACCTAACCTTTCTTATCCCCCTTCAAGGTTGAAGGCACTAAGATAAGAGTAACTAAGGCATTTTTAAGATTTGCAGGGAAGTCATAATCAACAAATTGTCACCTGAGAGCTTTTACAACTTCCTATTCCAGATCCCTGGGAGCTTCCTAAAGGTCTCCAGTTATTTCCCTAAAACTTGCAGGCACATCATCCCTCGGTGGGTCTGCCCTTCTACAGGAGCAATCACCTCACGATGGAAACCAAGGCTGCTCCCTAAGCAGTCATCTCATGATGAGAACCAGATTGCTCCCTCAAGCACATAACCACTTCTTCTGGACCACACAGAACCAGAGTTAAGATCATGATCCACTGCATCAGTTTGAACAAGATGACTTAATTACACATACTTCTTGTGCCTCCATTTTGTTCCTTTTTCTATTTTAAACCTAAGTTCATGTCAGTGCCCCAAAGACAAGGCTGAGGATGCTGATCCCCTTATCTTCCCAGGGTACCTATACCCAATAAATTTCTTTCCTACTTCACCATTACTGCTTTCACCAGAAGTATGGGACAAGTGGCTGGACCTGGTTTGCTGGGATTCCCTGAAATCAGTCCCCGCCTCAGGCCTAGGATTCTGGCAACTTTACTACCTTGGCAACATGACCACACACAGAAGAATTATTCCAAGGGATGCAAAAACACATTATGCTGTATATCTGGTGGATAGAACCACCAAGAAATGTTAAAATGCACCCAGTGGGCTTATTCTTGATTATAATAATGTTGGCAGTTATTTTGAACCTACTAAAATATGGAAAGATGAAATAAATAATATTATTGTCTTCATTCATTTTGTGTTATTACAGAATACCTGAGAATGGATATCTTCCTGATGCTTCTAAGAGAAGCTACATATGATCAGCAGGACCCTGGCAGATAGCACCACCAGTAGAGGAAAGCTAAAGCCAGGAGGCTTCACACATGTCCCCAAAAGTGAACTCTGAGGAACCTCAGCTGACTCTTCAGAGTAGATAGGAAGAAGGTCAGTTGTGACCAACTGGTCTTAAATGCCTGGCAGGAGAGTATAGCCTAAAAGCACAGTCTTACATGGACATTTAAAAGGAAAAACAATGTTTGAGGATTTTTTTAGTGTAACTTAAAATGTACACTTGTGTCAGCCCTACCAAAAATAAGTAAAAC